ACTGTTGCGAACGACCTGTTGGGTTTTTTAGTACTAGTTGCCACGAAACAGTTAGATTGGCGTTCAGTAATATTTTTAGTGACTGACATCGATCTTACTAATATCAGCTCGGTTCCTGAATTTGAAATGTGTATAAGACAGAATAAATTTTTAGGGCATGTGATCTCTTTAATCTGTTGTTGTATTATTCATTCGTAATTTACGCCGGGAGCACTCAGGGAACCATAACATGCACCAGCTGCAGCCTAGAATCATGTGTAGCCAGACAGATGTGAAAAAACCAGTAAACTTCAGTAGAGTTTCTAAAATGACAAGGTAGCTATTACGGCGGGTTATATCTGTGGTTGACTGGTCGGAAACGTGAGGCGCGGAAACCAGTATTCTGATACTACATAGAATGCCCATCCCTTATTAAAGCAAAAAAGATAGGGCCGGAAGACAAAGTGTAGCAAAATAATGTTTCAGCCGGGAAGCAGAAACTGCCAATGAATTTAGTTCATATGCTACAATTTTATTGAACTGGTAAACAGTTCCACGTATTGCTTCACCTACCTTCTTAGAAGCTCAGTAACGAAACAGACGCTTTATCGGTCATAGAAGAGTTTTCAGTTAAACTAACCCAGATAGTGGATGCCAGCACAGTGACATCCAGAACTAAGATACTAAGCGAATGTAACTTCGCCTGAGCTTGGGATTAGACGTTGAAAATACTCAGGCATTTCAAGTGAACATTTTGTTTGCCTGCACATCCTCTGTGTGAACTGTCTTACCTCATGAATAAAGAAGTTTTTGGACGTCCTTAGCAGAAGTCTACAAACAGAATGATAAACTTGCGTTCAGCTTACGGTTACTGGTTGATAGAAGTGCACTCTGAAGATAGGCAAAGAATGATATTAATTATTCATTCTGGCATATGTAGATTCAAAGCGATTTCATGTGAGCCTCATAATAATAGAGATACTCGTTCTGTTGTTCTATACAGCCAAATATTAGTGGCCGTATATCAAATGGGAAGAGCAGCTTACTTAGGTGTTATTATTACGGGTGATAGGCACTTTGGCACCATCTTGCGGCGGTAAATAATCCAAAAATTTATTATGCTATATTGTCCACTCAACACAGGATGCTCACCTTCACTGTTTAAGTCAACTTGACAAGTCAAAGATTAGCGGTCAGGCTTTCTCGCCATCAGACATGCTGTCATCTTACGTCCGGCGGTTCTTGGGTGGTCACGGTCAGTTAAGCAACCACTACCACAATACTACCCCGCATTTCGAAAGGCTAACTCGTGATTGGTCTAAGCAGAACAAGTGCTGCAGAGGTATGAGGATAAAGACTTGAATCTGTGAACAGAGCATCCCACGTAACCGCCGATACCTTTCCACCCCTAAAATTTCTTCAGTGCCAGATTGCCAACAAAGTTCACTATACAGCTAAACCCAAAAAATGATAAGTACTTTTGTACGGGAGACTTCATTGGTGAACTATCACCCAATGAAAGTACAAGAAAGTAGGCTTGAAATGTTCTCGATTAAAATCCTAATCTGCATGATCTTTAGATCTGGTCTTCAATTAATAGATTTTGTGTTATACTTCCTTTTCACAAAACATTCTGCAAATTGTAGAGGGAATAAGTTGGAACAACATTCGTTACAGCTGTATTTCAAAAACTCAGGGGCTGTTTAAAAGAGCCTTCTCGCAATTCCCTTATTAAGCATGTCCGTACCTCATTTTCTACCTGTCCGTGACACTATGTGTTACCACCACTTTATTAAGATACATATTCTGCATATCGGGGTGTGGCCAATGTAAGTCAAGTGCTTAACAAGTGTCAAGGAGCTTAACCCTAAGTTCCTATTGTCACGAAGACGCTCCGAACCGATAATTACCATGACTTTCTCGACTTTAAATTCAAAACACCGGTACTTTTAGAAAGTTGTATTGTTTGGTAATTAAAGTCTGGACAAGTACAATTCTATAAACAAATGTTTTATACAAAATATAGTGTACTTTTATTCGTATTCTTTCCTCTTCTTCCAAGTTGTACACGATTGAACCATTCGCGTCTTAGATTTGCCGGCCAATGGCTACTAAGGGCAATGAGCCAACGTCCAATATTCATACTCCTTGACAACGATAATTCTAGGATAGCCAGTTTGCAAGAGAAGAAGTAGCAGTGCTCCTAGAACTATCTGGTTAATCTAAGTTTTTCATATTTGTTTAGGGCTTCTAGAACGGTTGGATCACAAGGTTCCCGAATAGACGAACAACTTTAAATTAAGAGGAGCTCAGTTTTAAATTCGACAAGAACGCTTACTAGTGTTCACTCTGTAGTCATGATAGAGACTTAGGAATTTCAGAAAAATTTCTAGTGCTATGTTACAGATCCCTGTACCGAATCAGGGTTGTCTCTTCGCGGGATAGGATCGTATAACTCATGCAACCAAATTAGCTTGCGATCTTCCCGATGTGTCCTTGGGGTATTCTGTAAACTCGTGGAAATCGAACAAACTTTGATAGAATAGTAAAATACGAAGGACAAAATTGGTGTATGAGTTGTGCTGCATACTTTCGTTTTGTAATCCCACACCTATATCAACCTAGAGAAAGACATAGGGATGTTGGCCGTTAAAAGTCCTAAGTGGTGACTTTACCGGTTGAGTATGTCAGTGACTTCAACGATTTCCGCTGAAGTATTAGCTCTCCACAGAACCATCACCACTGTGACGTGTGCTAGTGACAATATTCTTATCCGTATGTGAATCTGCCGCCCTAAGGTCTATTAAATATACGACTTCTGATCATTCACTGTCGGCTTCGAAAGCGATACCCAGCACTCGATTGACCTGACTACTTCTAATCTTATTGAACGGAAAAGACACGTATCATATTGTTTAAAAATTTTTATTTCCCTCTTCTCCAGGCAGCATTTCCCTAGTTTCGTATAGGAGAGCATCAGTCTCTTCTGGCGCTCCTCTACTTTGCGCTGCTGCAATGAAATCAAAACTTGTAAAAGCAAACATTATTTTATGTTTTGTTTTCTCTGGGCCAGAAGGTTAGAAACTTCAAGAGCTAGACTCTGACGAAGACACTAAGACTGTTAGACTGTAAGACTGTATCCCTGCACTTTTTAAAATTTGATTTGGGCTGAGTAAAGTCCTGTGTGCAGCTCGTGCCTGTTGCGCTGATTCCTGCAAATTAGTTTCCGAGGCATTCTAACTTCAGTTTCAACATGAACCCCGATCCCCACATGACTCCTGCAATACGCTCTACAGACATACTTCAGGGGCAGAACAGTCTTGCGGTTCGTGGACCGCTGCTCCTGGACATCGGGGGCGGCAATGAGCTTTGGAGGTTTCGTAAGTAATCCATTTCAAGCCGTTTTTTCCAGCAGGATCGACTTTTATCACACCACTTGAGATGGCATTTGTTGTTCACTCCAGAGTAATCTTTATCGGAAGTGCTTGATGTGTTCGAACGATTCGAGAGTATCTGCTTCGTCCTTCCACCAACTGCCAGTTCGTCGTGCTGTGCTCTAAAATCCACAAACCGAAGACCACATATCGTCGTGCCCCGACAGCGCCGTGAAAACGCCCCAGCAACGGAGCAACTTGCAGGATCTCTCGCAGCACTCCCGAAATAGGAAGTTCCCGACGAAAGGTGTTACTGTTGCCGAAAGTTTGATTGTAAAACTCAGCAATATGTCCAAAGCTAACGAAGACGATCCCAGTGTATCACCCTTTGCTCTCAGTTTCGTGGGACTCGCTTCCTACTGCCACAGCTTTGACCAAAGTTTTGCCAGTATAGCCGCCCTTAGCGGTGAAGGGACTGAAGTTTGCTTGAACGAGTGAGTCATTTCATCCTGGATACTTAGGCTATAGAAACTGCTCTCTCAGAGTTGGCACTTGATCGGCAAGTGAGAGTTATTGAGTATGCTAGCCGCAATTTGGATGAGAGGGACACACGTTGTTACACGACTTGTCCTGAGAAGTCGGCTGTTGTGCATTTTCCAAATTACTTTCGCCATTATTTATTGGGGCACGAATTTCAGGTTTAAACAAATCGTAGAGCGTTGCTATGGCTGCAGGATTTCCGTGCTGCAGACGGCCAACTTATCTGCTGGCAGAAACATCCACTAGAGTTCAACTTCACTTGTGAATATTACCCGGTAAGGCGATATGCAGATGTCGATGCTGTCTTTCACCTACCTAGTTTCAACCCAACGGTAAATGCCTTTCTTGGTACAGTAGGAGATATTGACTGGGCGTCTCTGCAAGCAGTGGACACAGACATATAACCCGTCTACTCACTACAACGGCTGGGGGACAATAAATGGACATTTAATGAATTATGAGGCCTCCCCACAGCTACTCAATGCATCTGTATACATGGAGTCTGTTGTGCCTAGAAGATGATTTTCTCTACATAGTAGGAATGAATTCATTCCTTCTCTCCTAGTTCCGAATGTAGATGCATAGGAGGTCATTAGTCAAATAAATTCTAGGAAACCAGTTGGGTAGGCTGCTTGAATAATTTTGAACTCGTTTCCAGTTAGTTTCGAAACTATCAGTAAAAATTGTAGTTAGAGTATGATCTTTGAGTGTCTGGTGCTGTCAAACACTATCTGGTCCATATCACTAAGTAATTAGAATGAAAGTTTACGGATTACTAAAGATTTGTGTTCCTCATCACGATTTTTTGAAAATTTAATTTCATTGTAATCTAGTTAGTTATTTAAAAGTAACTTCTAGAGTAACTGAGACCTATGGTCAAAGCGGACTTTCGTATGTGTAATTTACAGACTAATTTGCATAATCTACTCCTTCAGAACTTTCTTCCTGAAATAGTAGTAATATTTCTCACTATTTCTCACAAAAATACTGGAAGAAGGATTAGTGCATGGTGCGCACCAGGGGGAGGTCAGTTTGACGATATTTTGTACAGTCTAAGCTGTAACATTCCTACAGTCAAAATAGTTAAATTACGAAAAGTAAACGAATGTATGGACAATTTTGATTTATTTCTGCATAATGAGGTCTTAAAATAACATGGGCGGAAAACTTCTTATGGACAAGAAGAATTCAGAATCCAAAATAGATGTAATTATATGGGTAACAATAATGAACATATTAGCTTAAAATTTCAAAAGAATGGAAGTACGTGTCGTTTAAATCATCATTGATCACGAAAAGACATTGTATTAAAAGTGCTGTTTGAAATGGAGTCATCATTATTGTTGTTGAAAGAATGAAAATCAAATTTTAAAATCTACCATAAATGGCATTTTTCACTAGGATTCATTGGAGAACCAACTGGACAGTTGTACGCTTTTGCAAAGTCCTTACTGTTTGAAATAACACCATTTACCCTGTTACAAAATAAAAATATTATCTTGAGATTTTATGAATTGATATATATATATATATATATATATATACATTAAATTAAGCTCAAGTTTATAAAGGAGTCTTCTGGAAGATTACTAGAGATTTGTAGGTTTTGCAAAAGAAAGCTGAAGTGGTGTAGTTAAATGAATAATAAATATAACATTTCTCATATTTAGTTTGAATCCGTTCACAAGATGTTTTTGCACTCATCTTAAAAGTGGACTATTGACAGACAATAACTTTTATGTCGCACAATCAACAGTATACACCATCGTATAGTGAAAATGTTGGCAAGTTTGAAAGATATTGACGGTACAAATGAACTGCATTGTTAGTCCATCGTGTTCTAGTTGGAATAAAAGTCAAATTGCCTATTCATAATGCGATTAAAAATAGTTAATTTCTAATTAACTTAAACAGTTTTATCGTGTGGTTATGTTCTCTGAGCTCAGTGATTTTACTTCGAGGTTTATTTGTTCTTTTAGACAATATTTTTAGGGTTTACTTGGGCGTGAAGTCCTTGATGTTGTGTAGGAGGACGTTTTTTTTCTGAAACTAGTTCTCAAAAAGATAATCAGTGAAGTAGAGATTCTTGTTGATTTATTTATATCAGGACTTTCTACAGATATGTTGATACTATTCTGACTTTAGATAAACTTGACTAAAATAACTAATATTACGAGTACTATGAAAATTGAACTGTCAGGGGTTCAATCCCCGGCTGACGCACTCCTTTACCTCACTAAGCCAATAATAAGACTGGCAAAGAGTGAAGGTTGGACTAGTAAGCTCATCTCATTGCTACCCAAACTCCAAAGCTCTAGCTTGAGGCCCTATGTTCCACTAGGAATGTAAAGGAATAAAAGGAATAATAAATCTCACCTATCCTTTTTCTGTAGCTTAAAACCTGAATAAGCATGTTCGAGCATTCCTTCTTCACTCATATATCCACAGAAACTCTTAAATACGAAACATAATAAAACAAAAGGGATTCGATGATTAAATTATGAAAGTACTGTGTTTAAACCAGTTCTAAAATAAAAACCCCGTTAATTCTGATGACAGAGTTTAAACGGTAAAAAGCATGTGACATATACTGTAACAGCAGAAGGCAAGACACGGAAGCAAAGGTATATTTTTTATTGATCAAACCGCTGTTTATATATATAGTTTTATATTCTCTAATCAGTCACTGAGCGTGTGACTATGGCTTACATTAAACGCCATGAAATAAAAAGCTCAGATATACACAGTGTTCTTTGACTAACACAATATTGAACTGTGGGAATATGTGAGAATAATATTCCGTTGGAACACATTGTTTGTAGTACACCATAACACTATTACTGACTGCTTTCTTCAAGTGATGTTAAAGCGTGCCGCTGAACTCACCGGTTTTACAAGTCTGTGGCAGTGAATGTTGTTTGGTAGTCGCATCTAGTCAGCAGATTTCAGAGTTAAACATTTAATGTTGTATTTCCGTTGCTTCATGCTAGAATATGTGATTTCGGCTTTATTAATATCATTCAAACTGGTATATTTTGGAGGTATGTTTTGCTATCACTCAAAAACAAATATGGGAAAATAATAAGAATAACAAAAGTTAGTGAAATTTAGCCTCTTTTTTAAGAAAAGGCCTGAGAACAACAGGCGAAGTTAATCGATAGCAACTACTTCGGTAGATATCCTTAGCAAACCAATTAGAATTTCATATGATATAACCAAATCGAATTAAGCCTTCTGTTTTGAAAACGCTGAACAAGTTCCATAAAAAAGATCAAGTGAATAATAGATTCAATTTATTAACAGACAGAATAGCCCAATTCTTCTCAGGTTTTCCAAAGCAATCTCTATCGAACACCTGAAACCTGATTTACATGTTCAGAAAGAAGGAATTATCAGTTTTTCCTTGATTTGGTAACTGGATGTCTTTATTCTTTCTTACGTCTGATTACCTTATCTTTGTCTTTAACTTCTTCCCTTTGATACAGTGTAACTTTGCTTATCTCTCATTTCTATGATTTCAGTTGAACTTACCACATTGTTACCCAATTTGTTAGCTACTTATCTTCTTATTCACCTCTTGTCTTTACTACATAATTCTTTTGCCACTATATCCGAGCTCTTATTTTTTTGTTTAAATTTGAATTCTCTGGGTAAAAACTTTATCAGTGTAATGCTCTGAGCATTGCTTATTAAGTTTGGAGCCTCCTGTCAATTGACATTATGTAAAATTTTCAAGTATGTTAAAAGTTGTTTTGTACATAAACTTAATAATGATTTATTTAGGCTGCAAGCAGTGATGGGAAGCCAACAAAAAAAGTAACGGTACCCTCTTATTCTGCACAAACACTTGTTCTGACTTTATTAAAATTCACATTGTGGAATAAATGTGTGAAATAATAGGTTAATTTAAGTTATTAAAGCATGAATATGTGGGAGAAGTCTAACATGGATAGCTAGAAGTCTGAAAGCATTTGGATTTTAGAGGTAGACTAAAGAACAGAATCAGAAATACAAGTAAGTCTTAGAATATCATGATCTATCGTTGTCTTTTTTTTTATAAAACTTGAGAGGTTTTCGTCGCTCGTTAACTTTAATTAGTTGTTCATGACCATTGGTAAGGCTGATCGGACTGGCTGTTATAGTTTAACCTCACCGGCCAGCCTAACACTCATTATTTTAGTAAATACACTTTTCAAAGGGAAATTTTTATTTCCAGTTAATTTTTCCTGGTGAGGTCACTTGTTTCTACTGACAATAAGACCAAAACCAAAGAAAACGAATCACTTGATGCTTCACCTTCTTTAGTGGTTTTTTTAAAATAATCTTGGTTCACGATGTAAATTGCTTTTCATTTGTTGAAAATGGGGGAGTGACCTGACATCTGAAATCCATCTCCTCTTCAGACATTCTCTTGTCTTTTGTTTTTGTATTCTGTGTATGCTGTAAGACGTCATAGTTATACACTTGTTGTTCTGTGGTAAGTATGTAATGGCAGCATTAAAGAGTATTTGAAAGAGGAATTATAGGCGAAATACATTTACCATATGTTAAAATCACAATTTGCACATGTTTCCTGCATTGTGCTATTTTCACCTTCCTTACAAGTATTTTCTGCCCTTTCACAAAAATGGTTTGTTTCTTTCCTTTGAAATTATGTCCATCGCTGCACTATTCGAAATTCTTCTAGATGATTTAAATATTTACATCTGTACCTATATACTACTTCTAAATCTTGCCAGTAGCTTAGGCAACAATATTAGCAGTAGAACAATAAATTGTTTTCGAAACGTCATCCAGTAGGTAATACTGTTTCACCGTGTGATATTTCTCATAAATAAATTATCATGGAATTACATACTACCACAGTACCCAAGTTTCACACATATATTAATCCCCTTTGTGTGTAGTTGTTAACAAATTCATAAGTCAAACCAATATGCAACAAACATTTCATAAAACTTCGTTATTGCCTGAACTAGTGGCGCAGGCATTTAGAAATCAGTGCCGAAGATATCGTCTAGGAGGACAATGGAAAGTTTTTAGTTAAGCTACTCAGCTGAGAGAACAAAACAGCACTAACAAGAACAATCTTATATGGAAATTTTCCCCATCACTACAAAGTCTTTCACTATCTCGGAAATTACGGTTGACTTTAGCCAGATTATTTAAGACTGCTAATCCTAAGGAAAATAGAGATGGATTGGACACACGTTGAGGAGACCATCAATGATATCGTACTTCAGGCAACTGTTTGAGTGGAACCCTATTGGGAAACAATGAGCGGAGCATCTGAGGGTGACATGGAGGAGATCGTGTGAGGTATACATGAGAGACCGTGGGCAATCATGGGGCAAACTGAAGAGGACCATAGAAAATAGGACATCGTGAAGATGTGCTGTTGAAGCCTCATGTTCTACCTGCAACTCAAGGGGGCAATAAATAATAATAACAATTGTAAAGCTGTTAGATTTAATGAATTCTTTTAAAATGTATTAGCTTCGGATTTTTAAACACTTGGAATATTTAGATAAGCATAGCTTGTTATATATATATAATGCCGAAAATGCCTAGTGGATATAAAACTATGTTCACTCAGTAAATAAAAGGACAGTACATGTCAGGTATATGGCACATAGGTTTGCGAATTATCCAGATAGTTAGAGCTAATTTTAGAACTGAATTATGTGTTGATTACTGTGCAAGAACGGCATTAAACTTTTTTTAAAATCCACTGGAATATTTTTTAAATGGGAAAATACAGCATGACACAGAAACAAGGAAGTTATCACGCAAAGGAATTCCTAATCAAATTGACATGTATATAATACTTAAGCTTTCATAAATACTCTCGCCTATGTTATTAGCTGGTCCTAAGCCAAAGAAAGAAGGCTGGTCGAACGTAGCAATCCTATATTGTAGAAAAATAACCCCATTACTACTGTAACTTCAAACCACAGAAAAACACAAACTTATTTTCTGTTGGAATGGAGAAGACTGCACAGTTCAGGGCCGAATTACGCCGGTGAGTGAGTTACCCTTCGGGAAACCATTCGGCCTGTATGTTTTCTTTCTATATACACACTTGGAATGTTCATACCATGTTTGAGATTACTCATATATATGCTGAGCCATTAGTCAAGGGTTTCATAGAAAAACTTTCAGAAAAGGAATTTAAAGGTTTGCATGAAAAATTAGCATAACCAACACAAAGAGGTTAATGTTAGATTTTTCTTTAATCTCTCACGATAAAACTAAAAATAAAAACGAACCCCTGAAAGTTTAGTAAATACATGTGACCTATCTAACACGTCTTCATCATCAGCGGGAGAGATCTGACGGCGATTACTTCCTTCACTTATCCGGCGAGGAAGCACTGTTTCGACCACAGGCATATGGCACAGATGGACATGTCAAAGCCAGCCAGAATCGAAAGGTTATCCTGAAATCACTTTGGGAATCTTCTGCAAATACTCAGAAAAAGCAACAAGATTCGGATTCTATTTAACACAAATGTGAAGTCAGTCGGCCAGTTCTTCTATGTGGGTGAGAAACTTGCACTGCGTGTCACGAAAAGGATTTCCAACAGGCTACTACAGAATTTTACCAACAGCTGTCCATTTCAATGGCTATATATTGAAGATCCAGTGACTAGCCAGACAGAAAGAATTGGTGATAATAAACTCTGACAGGGAACAAACAAACCAACAGGCGACAGCCGACTGGTCAACAAATATGTAGGAGGAAATGGAGATGGGTATGGGTGACACTGAGGAGACCGTCGAATGATATCACCATTTCTGCAGTAAAATCCCAGTGGCAAGCAACCAGTGGGTTGTCGTTGCGAGAGTGACCTGGAGGAGATCGTGTGACGGGGAGGAGATGAGAGATTATGAGCAATGGTGGTCTCCACTGAAGATGGTCAGCAGAGAATGGAACGAAGTGGAGGTGTGTTGTTGAAGCTCTATATTCCAATCAGAACCCAAGAGAACAATAGTGATAATATAGAAATCTAAGACGTCCTCAATAAAGTATGACAGTGGAAGACTAAAAGAATGACTGTTGTAATTTTAGTTAAATTATTACATTTTCTAAATCCAGAGTGATTGACTGTTCAGCTTGACGAGTAAATTATAGATCACAGACAGTTTTTTGCAATCAAGAGACTGAATAAATTATATTAAACTTAATATTAATTGGTAACATACTGATTTTTAAATTAAATACATAACTAGCAATATAATTAAACAAAAAATTGATCATAAAAGTGATTATATTTGCATCAACATACCTTTGCATATTTGAGGAAATATAACTGATCAGAAGTAGGAGAGGAATCTGAATTTAGATCACTTTTCACTGGAGTATTTCCTTTCAGTTTTTGAAATGCCTACAAAAACGTAATGTGTTTTGTGGAGGAAATATTATTTACAGTACAAGTGATAACAAAACTTGAATTTTGACGATAAATTAGTTGAAAAAATCTCTTAAAGTATGGATACGTTCTGTAGCATAAGATTGGTGAAACCATTCCTGTTTACACTTTTCGAAGTGATAATGTGGTGAGTGCTGTCTGCTAGGTGAAATTAGTAGACAGTAATTTACGCCAATGTTTACGTCCCAAATCTTGGTCATGAGAAAATAACAAGAACAAAGACTACCTCAACAGCTAATCACAGCAGACTTAGCGTAGGAGGATACGATTAGCAGACATATCAACGGACTATCTAAGAAACGGCAACAAAGAGATGGCCGAATAGCCTTCAGCAGAAAAACAACCAATCAGAACACGTTACCTCTCTGCTGACAATAACGAACAATAATGTACATAAAAATCTATGAATATCTATTGGTTTTCTCAATAAACGATATGTTGCCTCTCCCTTGTCTTCTGTTGTTGCAATGGCGTTTAGAAGGATAGTGTTAATAGCGAATAAAATATTTCCGTACTGAGGTGGAAGGCAAATATACTCTCATTTTAAGGTTTTCAATTTCCTGAATCCAATTTTTACGACATAAAGTGACAAATATTTGAACGATAGTCATTTCTATTGGCACAATTCCGAACTTTTGTAAATGAAGCTAAAAGAACTTCATTTGTTCGGGATAAATCGATATGTATTAGAGAGTAGTTGATAATGTCTAACTGTGGAATATGCCGTATATATATTCTGGTTTTACAAGTGATGGTTTTTAAATAAATATATGGCCTTAAACATGAGAATACTTATAATTTTAGACTGAAAATCTTATTTGAATTTATGTAACGAGATGTCTGGTGTGAAGATCCCCGTTTGTTACCCCGTAGACTGGTACATCTGATAGAACCAACTTAATACTTGAATCTATTTCAAAATCATCATGAGTAATATTCGTACAGTGTATATGTTATTGAAAACAGTGTTTACATTTTGCTAAATAAGTTTTTCCTACTTCATTAATCAAGTCAAAATTCGATGAATAGAAATTCCAGTGATACACACCCTTTGGAGTTTCAAGCTTTTATTATTTATTATCTTCAATTATTAAGTTTCAATTTTAATATAACCATCAGAATACATTCAAATGAATTACAATTGGAGTTATTGATATGTTACTCTATAACCTGAATTCAAGTACGGACTAGTCTTTATACTACTTAATAGTATTTCATTCTATAAGAAAACAAAATTCCATATTCATATTTATTTCTTTTCGAAGCTTTTCTCAGTAAATTTGAATTACATTGAATGTACTTAAATATATAATGAGATCTTTAGTTCATATGACAAATATCTGATATTAGAATACATTTGTAGTCAAATACAATACTGGGTTTGGGTATTTTCTTATTGTTACTTCAATACTCAATAATATATAAATGTAAATTTCGTAACAAACTAACACCAGTTGGAGAGAAAGTTGAAAGCCAGGGAGCAATGGACATCTCTTTCATTCTAATTAATTTGAGACGCACCACTAGTGCACAACCATGACTCTACCAGCCATCGAACCCACGACCTTCAGGTGACGAGATCAAGCTCGTTGATCATTCAGTCATTTCGGCTGGAATTCAGTGATCCGTATATTTTGACTATGTTAATTGGTGATATGGTGCTACTGTCAACCGATGCCTTCGATGAGCATCCACGTTACCTTGAGAAGGCTAGGTGGAGGTTTTGAGTCCGTTTAGTGTTGATACCATGGGTGCACACCTAAAAAGAGTTCCAAACTATGATGAAACAACTGTCCATAGCACCCTGGTTATCAGTGACCTCTAAGTGAAACTTGTTCAGGACGAAATCTACATGGAAAATAATCTAAATCCCTACAGAAAACCCATGATCTAAATATGTGAATAATCGCTCGAATAGAATTCTCAAGCTGATAAATTCGCAGAAAACTGTTATGTCGCTCTACGGAAAAGCAATGAGACGAGAAATTACACCTGATTCTATACAAACTTTACAACAAATTACTAGTTTAGAATATTATAAACTATGTTCTCACCGGATAGCATGTAATAATGAATATTCGATGTCTCGGCCTTTCATCTACTTTAGAGTCAAATGTTTGACTTACAGATGGCGTGCGAATCACTGACTCATAATATGTCGCTGTTTGAACTAAAATTAACTGACATGTTGCTAGGATATTCATTGAATACATTAGAATACATGTGTCTAAATGATAGTAAACTCATAACCCTATATCCTTTGAATGACTTAGCCATATGTCGTTAATAGTCAGTCCTTTTTTCGTCATAACAAATATAAGAAGACTTGCTTATGCCAAATTAAATTCCATTATATGGCGATGTGATTTAGAGAAACACTGAATACTAAAACCTTTTGGAATAATTGTTTCGTCCTAGTTTAAGACTAAACCGGAAGCGTGCACCTACAAAAAGACTTTATACTAATACACATTAATTAAGACTGGATTATGCTTCAGACTGTCGAGGGTGAGGAGTCAGGAATACGCTGGACGACCGATAAGAAGACCCTAGAAGACCTAGATTTTGCACATGGATGACTTATGTCTAATGTCACACAAACTCGAAGACTTGCAGGCGAAAACCAACAAACTGGCTAAAGAGGCAGCGCAAACAGGACTTCAGGTGGACACGGAGAAGACAGAGGTGATGAAGATAGCCAATCAACAGCAACAACAACCAGCATCAATCAACATCAACAGGAGAGATTTAACAGAGATTGCCTCCTTCACTCATCTGGGCAACCATCATCGTTTCAACTAAAGGTGGAACGGAAGAAGATGACAAAATCAGAATCGGAAAGGCAAGATACGCCTTCATCAACCTGAAACCAGTTCGGAAGTCTTCTGCAAATAATCAACATAAACAACAAGATTCAGATTTTCAACTCAAATGTGAAGTCAGTCAGTCAGTCAGTTCTTCTATATGAGTCAGAAACTTGCACTGTGTGTCACGAAAAATATTTCCAACAGGTTACAGACTTTCATCAACAGCTCTCTTCGCTCCATACTGAAGATCAAATGGCTGGCCATAAAGAATAAGTTACAAGAAACTCTGGGAACAAATCAACTAAGAGCCGGTCGCTCAACGAATATGTGGAAGAAAATAGAGATGGATAGGGGATACATTGAGGAAGCTACCGAATGACATCGGACGCCAGGTCCTCGAGTGGAATCCCAATGAGAAGTGATGAGTGGGTCGTCCTAGGTTGACACAGAGGGTATCGTTTGAGGGAGAGATGAGAGAATTTGGTCAATCTTGGACCCAACTGAAGAGGACAGCAGTAAACAGAATAAAGTAAAGATGTTTGTTAAATCCCTACGTTCCACTCGGAACGCAAGGGAATAATAAATAAATAAATGAATAAATATATTTACAACTTATTTATATCAAAACTGGACATTATCATGATGTAGAAACATACTTCATAGGACGCTTTTACGCCTACATTATCCGCTAGTATTTCGTCTATAGTGAAAGCATTGTAGGTCTAAGTAAATTTTGAAATAAGAAAAGAATTAAAAAAAATAAAATAACACATTTACTAATGTCATATCCCTTATAAAGTTATTAAAATGTTTCATTCATATTTTTATAATGATTGCGAATAAGCCATGTACTATCTGATTTCCAAAGTTCAAAATTGTTGTATGAATATTATTGATTTAGAATATTTGTTCATTTGATTGATCAAAATAATTTTGTTTTTAAAAGTCTGTCACTGAAAGATGCAGCAAGCTGAACAAGGATTGTTGTAGGTCGAACAGGTTTGGTTTTGAAATAAAATGAAGTTATTTCAGTGAATTTCTTTGGTCTGTATGTACACTAACGCTGTAGAACTTGTAATGATGGTTTTTTGAAAGCTAGTGAAATAATATATTATATGGTTTTAAAGTGCAGTAGCCACTACTAAAGCTGTAGCAGCTCAGTAGTAAGTACTGTTACTTCAATGAGACTTTAAAACACAAAGTGTAAAGTCTGGCTAATTGATGGTCATATTTTAGGTCTAATTAATAGCGGCTAGGACGCTCGGCGAACATGCTCATGGTCTGGGGTTCGATCCCCGGCCGACGAATTCCTTTACCTCGCTAAGCTAGAAATAATGCTGGTAAAGAGGAAAGGTTGGGCATTAGGCTAGCAACCTCATCCTGTAAAATCAACACTGCTACGGACACTAAGCCATTAGTTTGAAGCCTTATGTTCCACTGGGAACGTGAAGGAAAAAAAACAACATCCATATTAGTTTTTCAAATAATTTTAGATGTTAGTGTTCAGGTGATTCAAATGATTCTAATTCGCCTTTAGTGGCTATTGTATGCTTAAATTAATGGATTTATAATTGAAGAGCTTGAAGAAGAATTTATTGAAAACAATTGTTCGCTCTAAATATTTTGTTCTGAGTTCAAATGTTGTTAACAACCTATAATCATTGTGATTACAACTTTGTTTGGTCAGATAAGATTTGTAACAGAAAGGCAGTTGCATCCAAAAATGTCTACTCATAATGATATCCTCCATATTATTATCATTACATTGATTGCTTGTCTTTTTTTTAATAAAACATTGGGCTCCAGTGGGACACATTCATCCACTCGGTTATCTATCATCACTTCCATTTGGATCCATGACCGTTCACAAACTTTCATTTCCAAATTATATGATCCCATCCATGTTGCTTTTAGAAATCTAATACACCACTTCCCAGTTGGACTCTATTCGAGGGCATTTTTGGCGTGTTGTATCACTTAAATGGTTCCACGGATAATTTCCTATCCACATCATTTCCCTTCTGCATATTTCTTAGTTGAGTAACAGGTTCTTGCATGGTTCATTATATGTCAGAGATCTTTGTTGTTTGTTTATACTTTCTGACCAACCATTTGTTCTTTAATTTCAAGCGAAAGCAGCTCTTCATGAAAGTCTGAAGTAGCCTGTTGGAAATGCTTTTGTTAACGCGCTCACCAAGACCGTGAACCTTTTAGAATCATTACCTTGACAGCAATGTTGAAAATGTTCCTCCTACTGACTGCAGTAGATTTCTACGTCAATTTGAGAGAAATAAGCACTTGTCCCGATTGCGCAATTCAATGCTGACTGGCTTTAACATTGCCATCTGTACCGCCTGTATTTGGGGGTGGGGGTTGAATGCTAAGTGATAAGTGAAGGAGACGGCTTCCCTTAAACTTCCTACTTTGGTGTTAATTAGTGCTTGTTGGTTTTGTCGAGGTATCTTGTTCCCCTCCATCTTCTATATATATATATATATATATATATATATATAATCCATAAAAATAGGAAGGATAACAAGCAGATTTATTCTGATGTAGGCCAGCATTTCTGATGTTTATTCGACTTCTTTATGCCATAAATCTAGACACTTATGTCGACTTGAATCATTTTATGGTTGATTTCATCACGAACCAGCATCGTTTAGAGAAAAATAGAAAAGCAAGTTGCACTGGGCACCTATTTTGTCTTTGAACGAATGCGTCAGCATATTTTGTTGCCAAAACTGACCTCAGATTTATCAATGTGGGTACTGTAAAAGTCACCCAGGCATTTAGTGCGATTTAACGCATCTTTAGATCTCTGCGCTGCGATTGATTCTTCTAACATTGTGCCATTCGCATCGTATACTGTACCTTTATATAAAGCAAAAGTAAAATATGTCTATTCAGTGAATTAGGAAATGTTTTTATTATAAGACCAATATAAAACATTTATTTCTAAGATTACGATTATGTATAGGAAGTAAATATTACCATTTTACCAAAAAGCCGCATTGTGAAGATATTAAAAGGATTTCAGAGTGAAACAAAAGTTGGTTCAATTAAAAACGCTGGCAACATAAACTATTCGCAGAAATGAGTGCAAGGAAATAGATTGGTTTTAAATTATTAGTTTGTAAAATGTTTGCAGATAAACCGGGGTTTATACCAATAAACTAATGCTTTTAACACAGATAACTGTGATGCTTAATAAATTGTTAAAGTTTCAGGATTTTATCATGAGCTGACATTGGTCAAAGAACCATTGGAAAACCTGGGAGTACTGGACCAGTGGATTGAATGTGAGGACAAATACTCGCCGATTACTTTGGCTAGTGGTCGCGCTATGTCGTGAATTGTCTGAATTTGGAATTTATGAGCCACTGGATCGGGTCCCAGTGGCTTAATGGTCTATGAGTTCGATGGCCATGTAACCGAAAGGTTCTGGTTTGAAACCCTGGGCAAGTACTAATGAAGAGTACCAAAATAAGACGAAGCAGTTTTTTCAGTACTCTTAGGTTTTCCAGGGTTTCTCTAACCAATGAGAGCTCATGATGAAATCTTGAAACCAATCAAATTCCTCCAAATCAACACTTGAAATTTTTAAAGGTTTTTCTAAAAGGATAGATAGTTCAGGTTGGTAAAGTGATTATTATTATTATATTGTTATTATATCTGAGAATGTAGTTCTATCATCAGTAATTGCATACTATTACCAAAAGATGGAAAAGCTGACTTATTATACTTTATATTGCGCATTAAAATCCTAACCTAATTTAATTCTCTTGTAATACTTTGCTTTCTGATCACCTTTATAATAAGCAATAACCGCCTTGTATTTAGTGCTTGTGCATCGGTTTTATAGTGGTTAGGACGCTCGCTGACCATTCACATGGTCCGGGGTTCGATCCCCGACCGACGCACTCCTTTACCTTACTAAGCTAGAAATAATGCTGGTAAAGAGGAAAGGTTGGGCATTAGGCTAGCAACCCCATCCTGTAAAATAAACACTGTTACAGAAACTACAAGCTACTAGTTTGAATCCCGATGTTCCACTGGGGAACGTGAAGGAAAAAAATGTAGTGCTTAGTTCTGTGTTCGTTTTAAACCACGAATGATTTCCAATTCTCTCAAAATCTGTAAAATAACTTATTCATGTTATATGGTTGGGGGCAATCGTCAGCAAACCTTGGGAACTGGTTTCCTTGCTTGTTAGCACTCGTCAGCAAGGCGTATCCCAAACCTCGATTCATACAATCAAACATGTAGTATTTTAAGGCTTAATATCATTTCAAAGTATCACAATCATAAAACGCATCGGTAATTTAATAAATGACATTAATGTGCACATATTCCAATACAAAAGTTATGTGTAAGCACAATCTCTGGAATTTTTTCTAGCATTACCAACGATCACTACTAACTTATAAATATACACATATGAATGCCTTGAAAAGGTTTCATAGAAACAGTTAGGACACACAAATTGTCAAAGAATGAATATTCTTTTTGATAGTTTCCAGTAATTGAACAGGGATATAAGGTACTAACTATGATTCCATCTTATACTTGTACCATAATACTCTTTATGATATAATTCTAGTTTGCCTTTGTTGGCTGTTATTATTGCTGTTATTCCCTTGGGTTTGGAGTGGAAAACACGGCTTCAGCAGCACCTATTCATTTCATCCTGTTCTCTGAAACCCTCTTTAGGTGGCTCCATAATCTTCCATAAGGTTTTTTCTCCTCCTCAGAAGATTTCTCTAATGCCACCCTCAGACCCAAGCCCAACTCGTCATTTATTTATTTCAGGTTCCACTCGATGATTCACCTGACATGTGATGTTAACTATAGGTCTTCTCAGTGTGTGCCAGACCCATCTCCATTTTCTTCGATATATTTTTTGAGTAATCAGTTCTTGATTAGTTCATTCTCAGAGTTTCTTGTTGCTAGTTCTTTCTGTCCATTTAACCTTCAATGTGGGGCAAAGGCCGTTGTCGATAAGAGGTTGTTACCTGTTGGACGTGTTTCTCGTGATGCGCAAAGTTTTGCTGCATTAGTAAATATAAATTCAATGAAATACAAAAAATTCAATTATATCCATATAACTTACCTGAAATACCTACAGCATGTGCAAATTCATGACCAATTATTGAACCCAGCCCTGCATATTTGGTTGGAGTGTCATATTTTCCATTATAAAATGGTGGACGTATCAGTCCAGCATGTAGGGTTATAAGATTTCCAAGCATATTGTAAGCAGCTGATGCAGAGAAAGTTGGTGTTACTGAACCAAAGCTGTTTATACAACGTGAATAAAAATGTGTTAACTTTAACTCCGTTCCACTTAATTAATATCACATTGTTAACATATAATCTATAAGGTTAACTCAACATTCAAGAGATATATTCCCCCAAAACACGTAGATAAGCAGAGAAATGCATTTCGGTTGAGAAACTATGTAAATCTTAGACAGAGGAAACACTGAGAATGATGAAAATTTCTAGAACCCTGGTACACAAGTCACACTGCGATCAGCGTACATGCTGCTACAGATCAAGTTCATGTATCAGTGAAGAAAGTGTTACACATTCTAGAGATTGAGTATCAAGTCAACAAACTCGAGAAGACTTATATAAGTTGACATAGTGATAAGAAAAAGCGTCAAAAATCAAACAAAAACACTTGAGCAAAAATGTATACTATATTTAAATGGTATACTACTACTATTACTGCATTAGTGCTTCCCAACCAGATTGGAATGACCTAAACGTGGGACGGCTGAGATCACACGTGGTTAAGCTGATTTAGCTCAGCTTAGAGAGCCGAATGAGTTCAAAACACCAGATTTCTGGGTAGCTACTTAGGTGAACTGTTAACAATATAATCAGATTAGCAATTTTCCAATTTGTACAGTTCGAAGAGGTGAAATTTTACCACAGTTCATTTTATTGAAATTGTTAACCGTGACATGTTCACAGTTTTTACCGGTTGCTTTTGATCTCTCTTAAGGCCTTGACTGTCCGAAATAAGCTAACAGCTTCAGGTTAGAATGCCTTTTCATACTTAATTTCTACTAATGAGAAATAACAGTTATTTTTTCTACAATTTACGTAGTGCAAAATTACGACCCTTGTTTTTAGCATTAGTCATAAATCGCTATTTGGATAGTTAGTTGTATTTGCTAATCGATTACACGATAATATCTACTCATGACTGTATTAAACTATGAAGTAGTTTTACGTGGAACTGTTATAACTAAACATGTTCAATCCATGTTAATTAATATTCCTGGACTTTCATGATTTCCTTAAATCGAATCGGCAATTTGCAAATTAATTAAATAATTTGCAATTTATACAGTTCTAGGAGGCGAGATTTTACTACAGTTTGCTTTGAAAGCTTATTCTGCCGCCACTCTCTATTTGTCATTTTCCGGCCGACCAATTTTGATTGCTCAAGTGAAAGATAAACTGCCTAGTTGTGCCACTTCCATGTGTATCTATAAATTTAGTTGCTCCTGTGGAGAAAGCTATACAGGCCGAACAACTAGACAGCCTAACAAGCGCATTAATGAGCATCTTCCTTCATGGTTCGGTAAAGGTCAAAGAAAATCCACACGAAGTTCTATTTTGGCTCATTTGACTGATGATAGCGGTCACCAAGTGGACAAAAATAGTGCCTTCAAAGTTATCTATCGCATTCTACCGAGCCTTTCGAACAGAATTCTCATCCGTCTTTTACACGTAGCGGAAGCTATGGGAATTCAGGAGATCAATCCTAGTCTTTGCATACAAAAGAAATTTGTCCTACCTTTGTCTCTCCCTTAGCCTAGGTGAATTCTATTCAAAACCCTCCCACCCTTTCTTATCATCCCTCTCCTTTGTACTTTTATGATATTTATTTAAACTCTGATTATCGTTCCATTTGATTTGACCTAATTTATTTACTTATTGAATTGTCTACATATATGCACATACTAACTTTGTTATTCTTATCACCTATATAAGCCTTATTAACAATATTTTGTTATTATTATAATCATCGTTATTAACTTCGTTCAAAACATTTACTACATTATTATTATTTGATCCACAAAATCACCGTCATTGGTTAAAATTTTATATATATAAGTCTATGTAAATTAGAGTAAAGCCTGAAGATCTAATTGAAAACAATATTGTTCGCTTATATGTCTTGTTCTAATATTATAAATAGGAATATTTAAAAAAATGTGATTAGTTTGACAGCATAAACAGTAGTCAAGAAAGCTAAGCATAAATGCCTAAAAATGTGCATACTACTGATATGTATATTGGGTATAAATCGCAAATCACGAATTTTATTTAACGTGTTACGAGTTCGTCCATGAAGCCAGAGAGAGATAGGGAGAAAATTGGGTGATTTGAAGTGATTTGGTTCCCCAAGCTAAGTTAAATCAGTCACACTATTGATGGCCTTGGCTCAAAACAAATGAAACGACTGTCCGATGTTCACGTCGATCTGGCTGTCAAGCACTACTGGTTTGTGTGAACGGTATGCAACTATTCGTCTCAGTTAGTCAGTAGTATATACTTTTAGGTTTTCATGATTTTCCTTTGTTTCTGTTAAAATTGTTTGTAGGCTTTATTTACACTCCTAGATTGACAGTCATCTGAAAGTGATTTTCTATTGATTCTATGGTATCGTCACGTCTAAGGCAGTATTATAATAATATGCCTAAATAAATTGAGAAACAACAGCTTACTCCGTATCATCTGAGGACAGAGTTAGTTTCAGAATATCAAAATATTCAGACTTTCGAGCATAGTATTCATTGAGTATAGGATTGTTCTCATCCATTGGATACTTAAAAACAAAAACAAAAAAAGAGATAGAAAAGTTAACCTCTAGCTGGGAAAAATGTGCTCAAAATGTGCGTAAACTTTGTTGTTTTCAAACCATATAACAAGTCAAGAGGAAGTTTACAGTGTGCAATCAAAATTCAAAGTTACTTTTATATTCTACTACAAATCTGTATTTTATTTAAATTTTTCAGCGCCAAACACCTGACAAGAACTGAAATCATAACACTTCTGTTTGAGAATCTTTTCTATTTTATAGTTGTACATCTAATAGACTAGCATACACTATAAGTTAATCGGTGGATGGTGATTAGCAGTGGAATCCAGGATGCGCAGTTCGTCATATTTGGGACTCGTCAGCTGGATGTACCTGCATCCCGTAGTGAGTGATGGTGTTCCCACTGAGGCTCGAGCCCAGTGCCTATAGTTTCAAACGCCAAAGCATTATCCGCTAGACCACTTGGGCCACGAAAGCTACCTCTTGTGTAACGTGTCATATCAGTCATTTAATTCAATTTTAGATTTTTCCATCCACCAATTAACTTCTAGTGACATGACCAAACATAGTCGAAGGATCTGCACAAGAAGCTGACATGCCAACCTGAGACCGAGCACTTCGGTCCAATCAGTCGACGGGAAAATCTAAATTTGAATTAAATAGCTTACACTATCGTTAAGTATTTAAATTCGGCAAAGTTATTCTAGCTGTCTACACTGTGATGTTTATAATATTTACCGATGGGAATTACTCGGAAGGCTGCTTTCTTAGTATTTATAATGCACTGTTTTATTGGTGAGTCTTTTAATTAGTTATACTGTTTATTTTGAATGGCAATTGTATTTTATTTGAATGATAAACGTTAATGAAAGGAGAAAGGGATTCACAAGGAGGTTTGAATTTAGCTAGTCAGCTAGCTATCTTAATTGCAATTAACAGTAAGCGGACAAAAATCGTTTGCATCTCAACGGGCCCGCCCTTTAGTTCAGTTAGAGATGCATCAAAACTACCAATCAGTAAGTGTCTTGTCCAAAACTGTGTATGGCAGAGAAAATTCTTTATGACTTTCCGATTATTCTTCACTCAACTTCGTGTTTCACTTCCTCTTCTTCAATTGTAACCCTTAGTCGGACCGTATGAATAAAGCATGAGTCATTACTCCGGTTTGGAACCTCAAAGTCAGTCGGTAGTCAATCACACATGCAGTATGTTTACCTCGAGTAAAAGTTTATTGTCAGGACAAAATCATATGAAGCTGATGAGTTTAAAGAATCACATTATTGGCAAACAATATTGTGTAATTATCTGAGAGATGTAACGCTCTGTGAGTTTCCTTCACTCAGTTAAGTGGTATTATTTGCAAATCCATATAGTTATTAGGAGACAGGCTGCTGAATTCAAAGATGTACACTCAGTAAATTATCTTAGGAAATATTATACTGTATGAGAGTTATTCTATCCATTGTAAGATAAATATAAATTATTGTACTGGTATTCCATCAGCTGAAAACAAAACTGACTCATAGGATCTAAACGCTCTTATGCCACACTTAAAATTATCATTTTAGTGTTCACACTACTTATATTTTAGATAACGAGAATCTAATCAAAAACACCTAGCCATACAAAACGCTATCATGACGACAATAATAAATATTTTCTTCGGTGGTCACAAAAAATGCACTATCATGTGTACATGTTTGCTTAGACAAAAGGAGTACATGATAAAGTACATGAATTAACAATCACATAAGTTGTGACTGAAATGATTACAACTTTGTACCTTTCCCGTTTATCTTTGAAGTTTTGGAAAAATTTCAAATCAAAGCAATTGTTTTTACGAATTTGACCACGGACTGATATCAATTTTACAACCATTGAAAACCAGGCAGAACTGGACAGCTGTTTCATCCTAGTTTGGGACCTTCCGGTTACAAGGAAAGTTCGTATACCATTCAGCCACTGGGACCCAATTCAGTGGTCCTGGGTTCGAACCCTGGCTGTGAGTGCGTACAGCCAATAATTCCCAAACTAGGATGAAACAGCTGGCTGTCCAGTACTACCTGGTTTTAATGGTTCTCTAACTGATATCAATCCGTGGGCAAACTCGTAAAAACAAAGCAGTTGTACCAAAAATCCTGTCATCAGCACCCATTCTCATTATTAATGAGTCTAAAGGATTGAATACCTGTTTCTCATGTTGTAGAACGACTGTTCTATAATGGTTTCACATGTTGGGTAGCATAAATAAGTTGCTGTGGTTGTGTTACATATATATCTAGAACAAACAGTTAGTTTCAAAAGCTACAAATTTCAGATTATCTCGGATAGACGAATATGTTACAAAGATTTTTTTATTATTTAAGATTTTGAATGGAGTTTCATAAAATCGAAACTTTTCTATTAACTAACTTACCTGATATATTGTAGATTTATCCTCCTTTTTCCCAGATAAGGCAATTGCTGTTGTGCGTGAAATCTATAAAGCACATTATCAAGATATTGTAGACAAAAAGAAATAAACAAACCTTATCTATGGCATTGGCTTTTGCCCCATTATCCAACCACTTGCCTCTTAAGGTTAAATTATGCAGTGTATGCCTTATTTCATCGATCAAATTTAATGCCTAGTGTAAAATTGAAGAGAAAAAGAAAACATTAACTGAAATGATTAGATTTAGTGTTCAATAAAACCTTTGAATATTTCGTAGGTATTCTACACTAAAAACGGTTGTTTTTGGATTAATTTAATATCAACATTCAGATTTCGTAACAAATTAACACCAGTTGGAGAGAAAGCTGAAAGCCAGGGAGCAATGGACATCTCTTTCATTCTAGTTAATTTGAAACGCACCAGTAGTGACAACCATTGAACTCACTACCTTCACGTGACGAGACCAAGTTCACTGACCGTTCAGTCATTTCGGCTGGAATCCAGTGATCCGTATATTTTGACTATGTTAATTGGTGATATGGTGCTACTGTCAACCGATGCCTTTGATGAGCATCCACGTTACCTTGAGAAGGCTAGGTGAAGGTTTTGAGTGCATTTGGTGTTGATATCGTGGGTGCACACCCCTGAGAAGTTCAAATTAGAATGAAACGGCTGCGTTAGTAATAAGTGACCTTTGACAAATGAGATTAAAATTAGCCAAATCTCCATAAATCCCATGATTTAAGTTGTAGAATAAATGACAAAATTGTATTTATTCTGCAGCAGAGTTCATTGGACGAATCAATATTAATTCACAGATTAAGACTCACGGTCTAAATAAAATCTATCAATTTCATCAATTAAGAGTCGGTGAGAACTACTAGCATTATTTTCAATAAATTCTCTTTTTAATTTATTACAATTATTTTGTCGTAATTTCACATATTGATTATCCTATAATTATGAACTATAGTCCTACTAGCTTCAGTTTAATAGCTGATAATTTTTAAACAAACAAACAAATGGCATAACCTTGAATTAAACTATTAACTGTTCTAATTTTACTCTGTAATTAGCCATTTCATAATGCCTCTGTAATTAGATTCAGTGCATCACATTCTACATACGCTTAAGTGATATCTTGTCAGTTATGCGTTAGCCACATAATTTGGTATCAAGTTTATTATTGTGAAAAAAATTTCATAACTATTAAAATGTGAAGACATTTTATTGAAAACAACATTCTTAGAATATTTGCTAGTTTTTCATTTGCCAGAATGCTAATGAATGATAACAATGTTACTATTATAGATATTATAACTCATTCCTTGGGTTCCGGACAGAATATGTGTCTTCAGAAGCCCATCAACATATCATTTGGCTCCAAGTTTACCCACAGGCTTTGAACTCCTCTTAACATGGTCTCCTTCACGTCACTTTCGGAAGGCTAAGGCAAGATTTTCCGCTCAGGTTCCATTCGTTGACATGCTTGGTTTGTGATGTCCTTTCAAGGTCTCCTAAAAGTATATCCAATCGATTTCCATTTCCTCACCCCCACACACCGTATTTGTTGGGCGACAGGCTTTTGGCTTTTTTTCTCCCTGCCAGGGATCTTTATCGTTTGCTTACTCTTTCTAGCTGGTCATCTGATCTTCAGTGTTGAGAGTAGGTAGCTATTTAAAGAAAGCCTGCAGGAGGCTGTTGATAACGCTTTTTGTTGACATACGTGTCAAGGTGCTCAAACACATAGAATCCCTGACTAGACATCAAGGTTATTTTCTATGCTGTGGGCTTTACATCTCGCACTGATTTCAAAATAATGAACGCCTGTAGTGTTTTCTGGATCACATCCGTACAGCATGTAAGTGAAACGATTCTGTCTATATTGATGGATATTAAGTGATAACTTAGTTATAATTGTTCAAATTGGTCTACAAGAAGCTCAAAGAAATAAATTTACAGTAGGCAGCTGAAAAGGGTTTACCATACAGTATTCTCTTGCCCTCTATCATGATTATCTCATCATGATAAGACACTAATCTAGATGCATTGGATTAAGAATTTCAAATGAAATTTGAATAGCAACCGTTCATCTTATTACCTTGAGTATCATGTTAGTTTATCTCAGAAAATGAATGCAAAAAAAAATGTTCATATTTGTAGGGAGTAATCACCTGACACAGTTTTGCTACTTTTTTACAGTTAAAAGTCGACATCTACACTAATGATTGAGTTAGTATCAAATGTCCGCAAACATTTGCATTTTTCCATATGGTTTATTCAAAAAGTGTAAATGTTCGTTATCGAACAGGGATTTATAGTAGACGATCTCTCTAGGAATAGGAAAATCAATTAAAACAGAGCCATAAGCTCAGGACTGCATATCAAAAATGTTAGTCACGAAACTAAATGAACAATAATCTGCATATTCTCCTTAAAATATATCTCTTGTGATTGTAAAATTTTTTATTATCTGCTATACTAAGATGAAACTTATGGTTTACAATGTAAAATTTTGCATGAAAATCGGATGATGATGTGTGAAGAATTCGTTACATTTCTTCAGGACACCACTTCAATTTTACTAAGTAAACTGTGATTATTCTGATTTGTACATTATCAGGATCATATGACTCTAAATGCTGAGCAACAAATATTTATAGTTTGTAAGTATATAAAAAGATTTTTATTATTCGAGTAAATGCATAATATTATATTCTAACTATTAAGTTGAAGACGAAACAAGGTTGACACTTTCGATGTAAATCATTCGTTTTAGACGTTTAAAGGCAATCAACATGAAATCTTGGACTTCGGTATCATGGTTATTAGTACTTGTCAGCTAGCCATAACTGGAATCTCGAAGAAACTGATTTTCATGAGAAATTCGGATCCACATCACTCAAGACTTTGGTCAAATCTATGCGAATATCAGACAGAAAGGGGGGGATCAGTTACTATAAGGTTGGAGATATATCTTACTGAGTGTCTGAAAGCTCCCCAATAACAGTTAGCCAACTCTAGACTGACAACATAAAATGATTAACCCGAATTATCAGTTAATGTGCTCATTGCTCTGTCATATGTATGCACATATATATAAATATATCCTATATCTAGAAGTATGAAATTCCCTTTGGTTTATATAAAGCGAAATCGATACAGATGTCTGGATCTTATCAGTACTTTTAGTTAAGTAAGCCGAACATATCTGAGCTTCATTGAGGATATATTTGTAAACCGGATTCTGTTTTACTGGCCATCTCAAAACAGTTTTACTAGGTAATATATAACACTTTTCATTTTAAGTCCCGCAGTTTTTATGTAGATACCAGTCCCGCTACACAATTTTTAGTTAGTCGCTAAACCCCTTTTTTTTACTACAAACCACCAATACAACAGCAGATGTGAATTTTTCTAGTCTTATTATGTGATTTCCATCTGACTGTTAAACTGCTAATAAAACCCTATGGGGTATATTTCTTAACAGGGTTAAGCCATATGAATAAGGTTATGGAGATATTTTACTGTGGGGCAGGAGACTATTGTGAACTGTTTTGCGCTTTTAGAACTGCATTGTCACAGTAAACTGCTTGAAGATGTCTTCTCTATATATAATTACTTGTTTTCCACACTATGGTTTCATCAGTTACTTCAATCAAGCAAAGTAGAATTCAATTTATGTCTAAACTGACTGACTACAAAAACTTGAACTAACAGCAGTTCTTTGACTTTCATTTATATGATCCGATAGGAAATGTTTCTCAAGTGTCCATGGAAATACTTGTCTTAAACGGTCGATGCAATGGGTTGAAAAGGTTGTATCAGATCCTTCTAAACACAGGAAAAAAAATAAAGAAAATGTATTCAAAATTCTTTTTAATTACCATTAACGTGTATAATAATCTGTTGAAAAATACTTTATGCAAAGAAATAGACCTGAAATCTTCAAAAGTCTGGGAATCCAGGAATCAAAAGTATGTGTTTTATCCTTCCCAATTAAAACAATAGTTTGAGAAAATTCCTGAAATTATCCTTAATGAGGTGCTAGGGAGGAGGGAAGCATTACTGTTCCTTTTTATTACTCTTTGTCTGAATCCCTGGTGGAGTCATGGACATATACTAGCAAAGAATCGCATACTAGGACAGAACATTCATCCACTACCCTATGACGTCTATGAATAACTCTCTAACTAATATCAGTCGTTGACAAGATCTACCTCGATTTATGTCTTATCTCTACAACCGCTACCCAGTGAATGTTGATCTTTTTGTTGCATCATGAATAACTCACCGTAACCAGCAAATTTTTAATTTTTTAATTTCTTTTTTTTGATTACAGCTGGATTCCACACCGTACTTTTCGGTACAGGTATGGAATTTTCAGCGTGGATATCGATAGCCCAAATTTCGCAGGCCGACCATAGATATCAGGTGTGCGCCGGCGTGGGCTCGAACCCCGAACCATGAGCATGGTCGGCGAGAGTCCTAACCACTGTGCCACCGACGCACAGTATTTGAAGATTCTCCAAAAAAATTTTGTAAAAATACCACTTTTTACTGGAAATGAAAACCAGCCTCACTAGATTTAAGAGACATTTTTTCTGTTTATTATATGCACGAACTTGCGAATCAGCGGAGTCTACTGCACAGTCTTTTAGATACAAATGGATACTGATAGTGTATGTAAATCATTAAGATGAGTGTTTAGAAACCATTCTCTCCGTTTTCTCTGTGTTCACTTTAAGTTCTGCCTTCTCTGCCTGCCTATTTCACCAATTCTGATAAACTGATCTGTAAAGAGACTTAGTGTTTCTAGAATTTATTATATCCCTAGACTATCGAGAGGTGTGTGAGAGAGAGAGGCTGAAACTGTCCTGAAAGCATTCATTACCATTCATTAGCTTTCGTGAATTTACACTGCGCACTGAGTATTTGAATTTTTTAATTAATCATAGGGTTTGATTATGTATCAGCTCAGATAAACTCAATGAAATGGCATGTGGTGCTGCACACAGGTAAGTAGGAACTGAAACAGGATGGGAGAATTGTGGATCAGTATAAGGATGCGAAGTGTTCAGTGTCCTGAGAGTCTCATGATTTGATTGAGGAGATATCATTATCGGGCTTGTACTATCAGGTTATTGCATTTGGTACTAAAGATATCCCTGAACTCAGGGATAAAGCATCTATGATCAGATAACAAAGCTCAGGTAACATAAAACAAGCTCTATAACTATGAATCTGATGAAAAGTACTAAAGTCATTTTTAAAGACCATTTTATTGTTATCCGTCAATTATATCAGTTTATTATCGAGACTAATAGAAAGTGAATAGATTCAGGTAAACTTACCATGATGTAGGAGATTATTTTCTTCGGACATTTCACCTTCATACTTGGTTTGTTCCATCAAAAAGTCCAACACTAACATGTTATGAAGTTTACTTCAGAAGAAGATATGAATGAAGAAATTGGTTTAAAGAAGTGTATGAGTAAACAATATGTCCGGTAAACGAAAAACTCTATAATTAAATATTAAATTAAATATCTTGGCGTCATTCTATCTGCTGATCTTTCCTGGCCGTCTCATATCTTGATGATTTCTAAGAAAATATTCCGTCTTACCTTCTACACTAAGAAGTTAAGACATTCTGGAATAACCCTACCCTTACTCGTACGATTTGTTAACTCCCGTATTCTGCCTATTATTCTCTATTGTTCCCCCTTAGTTTTTCCAGGGCTACTGAAGAAAGACTATACCTTATTACGCAGGATGTTAAAGGTTGTCAGCAGGGTAAGCTACATGCCACTTAACAAGCTTGTTAATATTCTGGTTGACAGGCACATGGACTCATGTGAAAATGGGCAAAATCCATTTTATGTAACCCACACCACCCTCTTCATTCACAACTCTCCCCTTGTGTCTCTTCAGGGAAAACCAGAAGCCTATATAGAAACTATATGCTCGCACTAGTAAGTACAAAAACTCAACCATTCCCTACTTAACTCGTGTTCTGTGCGATAAAGAAAGCATTAAGCGTGACACCTATAACTTATTAAATAGTCAGTAGAACAACTGGATCTCGTCTTTCCAACTCATTATTTATAGGTACAAAGTTTTTTCCTTTCTTTTCCTTTTCTCTTTTTTTCTGTTATGTGCTGCTTTGTTTCTTTCTTCCTTACAAACTTTATTTAAAACATGCTTCTTTCTTTTACACTCCATATATCTCGACCATTTGTAACCGCTTACGCCAGTAGATATGCTAGCATCTACTTTTCTAACATCTTCAAACATTCTGTTCACTTTTGGCTTTGCTACGGACATGCCAATATGTTGTTGTCAAAACTGAGATTACCCTTAATCTATGTAGAATTTTATTTATTGTTAGTGTACTAACTGGATGCAATACTGTAGTAAAATGCTGAGAATTCCATTCTGTATCAAAAGTACTGTTTTGGAATGAAGCAAATTATTATTCTTATTCTTATGGTGTTCCCAGTTGTTTATTATTCTTAACGCCGTACGTCATAGGTCAATTTATTTAGTCTAACAGTTGAACAGACAAAAAAGCCAACGTCTGAATTTTAAATTTAGTAATTGGACTATTGAAGGGAGTTCAGTTACATAGGAATAAGTTAACATCTGAAATTAACCTGGCTATCAAGATAATTTTAACCCTTGGACTCTATATGACTAATTTATTTCACGAAAATAATGTTAAAATTTAAATGAACATTTTGAACTAATCATCTGATGATCGCTAGTTCACCTCTTACTTTATTATGATCAGTATTCCTGTCTCAGTAGTCATTCTGCTAATTTAGAATGAGTCTATTAAAAGAGTTTCATCAGTGTATTTAAAAATTCTCATGATTTTTTTCAGTCGAATGATTTCGTCAACCTTTACTATCGAAATCTTTCGTATTCTATTCACTTAGGTATGACGTAACAGGTAAGTAGAAACATGACATTATTTTTAGATACACTGGAACACACTAATCTTGAGTGTGGTGGGGTTTTCATTATTCACGCTATTCAGTCATTATTACTATATCTGTCAATAAAACTGGAAAGTTTTCGATCATCTACACTGAATTTGCATGTAATTTTGCTTGTTTTGACATTTATTATTTCCCGATAAATAATTTAGATTTCGTCCGAATGATTTATTAAGCTGAGAGAGTGTGTTAAGACTATTATTGGTTATTAGCTAACATCAGTGGAATATGCACGGAAAAGAATCTGTTCTTCTTAAATAGCAGACTATTACGGTATTCTTATTCTCATGGATTCTGGGTGGAAAATACGGCTTCATCAGAATATCTGAGCTTCATCCTGTTCTGTGAATTCCTCTTTGGCAGGCTCCACGACTGCCTATAGGCTCTCATCTCTTCATCACACGTAATCCCCCATATCACCCTCGAATCGATACCCAAATTGTCGTTCTCTATTCGGATTCCACTCGAGAGTCTGATGAGGGATGTAATTCAACTTTCTCTTTACTGCGTGTTCGATCCATCTCCATTTCTTTCAGCAGATTTGTCGAGCGACAAGTTCTAGATTGGTTCATTCCCAGAGTTTCTTGTGGCAGTGTCTTTCTAGTCAGTCATTCTAACTTCACTGTGGAGCGAAGGCAGCTATTGAAGAAAGACTACAGCAAGCTGATGGAAATGCTTTTGGTTACACGCCATATTTCTGACGCTCATAGAAGAAATGACTAGGTTGGGAATGATCTTGAAAATCCGAATCTATCTTCTTATGCACTAGATTTACAAGATGATATCAGAGTTCTGAAAGGCTGTCTCACCCTTTTGATCCTACCTTTGGCATTCTTATCCATGCGGACTGACTGTAGATGGGATGATGCTGACTAGATAAGCAATAGAAGTGACCTCATTCAAATTTATCTCTTTGATAGTGATTGGTACTTGTTGTTTTGATCATCAGTCATATTCATTACCTCTATCTTCTATATGTTCACCTGAAGTTGTGCCTTCGAAGCTTCTTCTATCAGCTTGTTGGTCTCCGTCAGTAGAACTTTGAGTTAATGTGACATTAGAGACAAGTAATAATATGCACTACATTAACTAGATACTTATACCACTATGTTTTTTACAAATTCTAAAATGAAGTCTAATTCGATAATTAGTGTTGTTGCTTCTTTGTGGAATACATAAAATCCCTGTCTTTGATCTCCAGTGGAGATAAAAGTGTCTGCTGCTGAAGAGTCCCGAAGTATTATGAAAAACCTGTCCAATACTGCTTGGTTTTCAATAGTTCTTTAACGCATATCAGTTCCTGATTTGACTTAAACCAAGTACCGTTCTCTTTAGAAGATGCTGCTCACTAAGTGAACGTTCAGGATTACATACAAAACAGAATAGAAAAGTAAATTCAGATATACCTTTTTCCATGACTAGAATTCAGCAATCCACCCAACATTGAACACATCTTTCCAAAATTAACATCTTCACTTATTAGTATTGGCATTTCTTTGTAACTAGGAAATCCAGCTTCACCGAAAATCTTTTCGAACAGAACATCCCAATCAACCTGTAAGAATTGAAATGAAATGTTTTAAAGAACATTCTGCAAGAATGTTGAAACTTTATAATTTTGATAGTAATTATCTTAAGCGCTTCATAAGAAAGCAGTGCAAGGTAATTCTATCTATTTATAGTTGCGCATCGGTGAAACAGAGGTGGAATGCTCGCCAGCCACGCCCTATGTGGTCCGGGGTTCAATCCATGACCAGCGCACTCCCTTACCTCACTAAGCCAGTACTATTACTGGTAAAGGAGGGAAGGTTCGGTGTGAGGCTAGCAGCTGCATCCTGTGAAAATAAACACCACTGCTACCGAAACTTCAAGCCTCTAGTCTGAAGCCCTATGTTCCCCTGGGAACGTAAGGGAATAAAAAAATAGCTGACTTCATGAGATGTCTTCAAAGCTAGTGGTACACTCATATACTCAGAATAACAGTCAAGTGACTTTTCATTAATTTGCATTCAAACTATTCCTTGTTCAAAGTTCAGTCACGTAATGACTTCATTTAGAGAACGATTGAAAACCAGGGTGTATTGCAGATCCGTTTCGTCCTACTTTTGAACTTTTCATACACACTCCTGACCCCACCAAGAGCCAGACCCGCGGCCTCCAGGTTAGCAGTTATGCGATAATTAATTTAAAGTTAAATAGTACACATTTTCACCGAAGAATTTTAAACAAAAAGCTGATAACGAGCTGTTTAGTGTTACTAGTCTATCAACCATTTCTTAGTCAAGGAACACTGATTTTTATGCAAGCAATTCTTTTGGTGAATTTTGATGAACAAAATAGATCAAATTTACTGCATAAAATTGGAGACATTTTTATATCACAGGTTCTAATCAATTGCAGACTACCAGAAATTACAATGATTATCAAAGAATGGAAACATCATAATAAATTAAATATTGATACGATTGGAAAGAAATTGTGTAAAGGACACCGTGATTACTACGCTTTGAAAAAGTATGGTTGCAAAGCAAAATATTTTCATCCAGACATATTAATACAGAAAGAGAGTATGATCAGTCACTTATAGCCTTGTTAAATGCATTGCAATTCTGTTGTGCATACTGTGTAATCATTCATACTGGTATTCAAGTATTGGTTTGTAGGGATTTTGATTGGTTAGAGGATTTCATCAAGACACTGACATAGCCAAAGACATTGGCTAGCGGTTTCGCTATGTCGTTAGTTGGCAGAAGTTAGAATTCATGGGCCATTGGATCAGGTCCGAGTGGCTTAATGATCTACGAGCTTGCTAGTCTTGTAACCAGAAGGTCATGAATTCGAACCCTGGCGGTGGGTGCATACTGATGAAGAGTCCCAAACTAGGCTGATGAAACAGCTGCCCAGTACTCCCAGCTAGTTTTCCAATGGTTCTCTATCCAATTACAGCACATGATGAAATTCATTCTAGTACTTTCAATTCTCTAATGAAATGCAAATTCTTCGGGTCTTTACTTAGCCATAAAAGTCAATAATAACTTTTTTTGTGTTTTTCTATCTGCTACCTTTTTGTTCAGTCTCTGTTTTTACTTCTTGAACTTTCTATTTCACAATTCATGCAGAATAATGATGACTTGAGAGAAAATTAATGATGTTTTTTCCCTTCACATTCCCAGTGGAACATATGGCTTCAAGCTAGAGGCTTGAAGTTTCCGTAGCAGTGTTCACTTTACAGGATGTAGTTGCTAGCCTCATGCTCAACCTTTTCTCTTCACCAGCTTCACTTCTAACTGAGTGAGGCAAAGGAGTGCGCCGGCCGGGGATTGAACCCTGGACCATGTGCATGGTCGGTGAGCGTCCATATTGGATATTTGACTCACTAATTTATGAGATTTCATCTGTTATCTCATAAATATGTACAATAGGTATGTTTATAATTTGTGGATGGTGGCTAGCAGTGGAATCCAGGATGTTCATTTCGTCCTAAAATAAAATAGGTATGTTATTTTCTATCTTTTACAACTGTTGTAATTTCATGCAGTCCGCAACACTCATGAAAACCTATGAAATAAACCGATAACTCTGTATTCGCCAAATTTCAACTGTAATTTATTTACATTTATAAAGAAGGGAATTAGGCAAATAATAATTCACCAAAAAGTACTCACATGTGTACAGCGATTCTTCAATGCTGATATTGTAATAGGATAATTATCTTCTGATTTCTTAGGGTTTGATGGAATCAACACTTCCTAAAAGAAAACAGCAGAGAGTTTCATCAGAAGATTAAGGGCAGTATAATTCATCATTTTGAAATATTAATATATAGGCTTGATGAAAGCTTCCACTGTTTTCATCTATTTTGAATGATATTTTGCGCCTTTAATTTTTATGAGTGGACACCCATAACGTTGTTGTTAAACTCCTGGCAGACGATCTACTTATCTGAAGTTAAAATATTTTGACAAAGCAATAAGAAGACTTAGTTTGTCTAATGTGCCTTTGCTCAAAACAGTTGACATTTTGTGTGATTACATTTCCACACGCGATTTTTTGATCCCGTTCTTTATATTTTATTTAAGGGATTTATTAATTCTATGTACAAGCAATTTTAGGTTTACATTTGAAGGCGACTGCTTCCTCCAGGTTGATGGTGTTGCTATGGAAATCTGTTAGGGCCCCTATTATCAGATATCTAAATGTCGTACATTGAGAGTTTATCGGAGGATTTAATCGAAAATGTGCCACTTTATATGTAGATGACATTGTAATTATAAGTTATAATGGTGGTTGTGCCACCTCAGTTTTAAATCGAATGAATGAAGTTCAGAATAGCATATCACTTACATCTGTAGAAGAGAAAGATAATTGTTTATCTTTCCTTGACATATTGCTTAGTCGACGGCTTGATGGACCAATAAAACGATCTATTTATAAAAATCTTACCTGCACAGGACAGTATCTTAATTAACACAGTATCTGCCCTGTTCGGTACAAAAGAGCCTTAGTAAGGTGCCTCTTCACTAGAATCCAGAGAACATGAAAACCCACTTAATGAAGGAGAAAGAAAGTTGTTACAAACCCTGGTTCATAACATTTATCCAGACAAGTTCGTCAGGAGATATAAAGTAGTCGGTGAAACAGCAAGACCCACTCTCCAGCTCGTCCCTAAGAAAGATGTGTACATCAAGCTACCCTATATGAGGCATCATAGCAACTTGACAACTAGACAAAGATTGAACGCTGCTGTTAAAAAGACTTTTTATGCAGCTGATGTCATAATAATTGAGAATGTGAAGCCAATATATCTATCTAAGCCCTTTGAATATGCAAAAAGTGGTGTCACCTCTCACTGTGTTTACCAATTTGAATGTAAGTGTGGAGACAAATTCATAGGGAGGACTCATCGATCTCTGCAAGTAAGGGCTTCACAGCATATTCCTAAATGTCTTCAGAGGCAAGTAGAATCCTCCGAACCCATTAATGGTGAGAACAGACGACAAACTTCTCTATTGAGAAACATATTATAGAGACAAGACACAAAATTGACGTTTACACATCCTATAAACCTATCCATAGAACGTTTTTGGGGTGTATCCTAAAGTTTGTGGAAGCCCTAGCTGGCAATTATGAAGTTTAAACCACTTTTATGCGATCAAGGCAACAATTCGTCATCACACTAAACCTTCCATGGTAAACTTTGTTTTGATACTAGCCAGGGTAAATGTACTATTACCTCTGTTATTTGGTTTAGTGATCTTCATTGTTATTTGACGTTCAATATGTCCTTTTAATTTGACCTAACTTGTCTATTTTCTCACCACTTAACTCTTTACTGATTTCATATATATTCCTATGACAAGTTCGTGAAGTGTGATCAGATTGTTCGAAATGTGTTGCGCAAATACATTACATGATTCAGACAAATTACGTTTTGTTATTGCTTTGATAAAAGGGAACTAACTGTTTGAAAATATCTCAACAAAATCTGGATTTATGTAGTATTTATTATAGATTTCACTTATATGTGTTACTGTATGCTCTTACATTTCTAATAGTTTTCACAGTTTTATCTAAATCTAGATTGTTAGATATCACCTAGCTGAAACAGAGTTCTCCTCAATCATACTTATTGCGTAGTGGCTATTGAGTAGTGATGTCTAGATTTCGAGGCTGATGTAGGTCAACAATTCGCTGTCTAAAAAATAAAATTCAAATTCACATTATACATCCTTTTATCGTCATATTCATATCAGATGGGTATCTTAGCAGTCAGGTACAATTGCATTTCTCACCAATGTTTTAAATCTACAAATCGGTAGCAATGCATCAATGAGTCAGAAATCGTAAAGAGGTCAAAAATAGCATATTATGAGTACTTTCTGTATCTTATGAAAAGATATAAATAAACTACTTCATAATATCTAGTTCAACTAATCATATAACTCAACATTATTCAACAAAGCAAATCAGGTATATTTCCCATTACACAAGATTTAAAAAGAAATATTTTGAGATAAGTAATTCATTTTGATACAACTTACTTTTACAAATTCAAGAGTCGTTAAGAAAGCATCATTTAACTTTTGCTTTTGAGTATTAGATACACCGAGGTCATATGCAATTTGCTCCGTATATCTTAAGGCCTCTTGCCTATTTTTCTGTTCAAAAAAATTACCAAAAATATGTAAGCATTACTTTACTACTGAAAATAAAGTCATTCACAGAAATGTTGCGGTTGGATATTGGATATGTATGTAGAAGTCATAAAATGTCAGCGTTTTCACAAGTTGTTTATTTTAAAACGAACTGTTCAAAACAGAATATAAGGATTGTTGTCTAATCACAAGTGTTTATTAATTCATCAAAGTTTTTACACTAGTATTCCTAATTCTTTTTGAAGATAGTTTAATGGGGAAATGAAAGTTTTGATGCAAATTAAGGAGGTTTATTTGGTACCAAACATAGTGAAAGAGTATCAGCGATTGGATAACGTATTTAGCACAACTTATTGTTCATAATTATACCGATGTATTCAGAAGCGTCGGTGGTACAGCGGTTAGGACGCTCGCCAAACATGCACATGGTCCGGGGTTCGATCTCCTGCCGACGCACTCCTTTACATCGCTAAGCCAGTAGTGAGACAGGTAAATAGGGAAAGGTTGGGCATGAGGCTAGCAGTGCCATCCTGTAAAACTTAACACCACTGCTACCGAAACTTCAGGCCTCTAGCTTGGAGCCCTATGTTCCACTGGAAACGTGAAGGAAAAAAATTCAGAAGACTTCATAACTTATACTCTATAACCTCGATTCTTGCTGCCTTTTACTGTAATTTTCCACATATTCGAAGTAGGCGTTTTATCGTGTCGATTGCGCGCGTCTAGTGTTCATTTGATGAACGCAAATTCAGTGGTTAATCTTCCTCTCCATCTAATTATACTTCTTTATTGCCCTATCTCGTGATGCGGTTATATGTGAGCACAGTCATTATAGTGCATATATATACATATGATTTGAGTAATTTTGATTACACCATAGCTTTTTCAGAGCAAGAATAATAAAGGTAAATAACTGATTCCATTAAATTCTTTTATAGGCTCTACAGCTTTAAATTCTTCAGATTTAGCATACATTACCTAGTACACAAAAATCCTTCAAGAGGAACTCGACTATTTCTTCTATCGTAAGGCAAATCGATAGCACTTCATACAAGAAGAGCTGGTCTCTGTAACCTGATGAGATATATTCAGCTTCCTTGGACAAATAATAAGGTCAACAAACCATCCGTAAAATTTGGTATTTTAAACTTTGAACCCATATCATATTATCTTCCTTACTGCCATCACCTCATTTTCAACGTTCTGCGATTGCTTTGAGCTTGCAAAGTATTCTTAACACTTTCCAGTTTACCCAGACATATACGTTAACAAAGAAATTTGTTCAATGAACTTTACTACAAAGCTCTACAATCATTTACCAGTTCTACTTGTACTATGTTAACTGACATCAGACATCCAACGTTATTGAAAACTAGCAGCAAAAATGTATACATCAAGTGTATCAGTAACAACAAGGCTTCAAAAACCGTGAATGCTAACACAGAATCTCGAGGAATGACAATTAACCAGATAAGTGATACATAATCACTTGAACATGTAGGTGACATCACATTTCAAAATACTTGATCGAACCAGACATACATACACACAAACATACATACATACATATATGAATGTGAATGAAGTCACTGATGACGATGCACAACCAACAGTAATCATAAGCTCCAGTATACAGTTGTACACTGTTCCACCGCCATCTTTACACAACTACACACATCAGTGTTCATACGCGACAACGTCATGCTGACATAGTCGATGTAATTGGCTACACAGGATTGAGTGAATTGTTGAGTGCACATTGAAGTTTCCAACAATTCGACCGTATCATTCATGTTGTGGTGAACGAGATCATGTGTGGAGAAGGTGTGTTGTAGCAAGGCAGAAGAGAATGTTCTTCCGATTAATGTCGACAGGTGATTTTGGAGAACTTCTCTAGTTGTATGACTCTTGAATTTCAGATTCACAATTAGTTGTGTCCTCATCCAGTACACCCAGAATTTGTGGGTTTGTAGTGTTGGTGTTTTCTTCTAGATGTTTGTGGATTCAGGAGGTTAGATATCCGTTTCTGATCTCTGTCATGTATGATACTGTATAAACAAGCACCTAAACAATTGTTCATATTTGTAATTAAGTTAGGAAAACGGATTTCTTTGCTGAATCAAGTGTTCTTATCTACACAAAAATGCTGTTTCTTCACACCATATTAAATTTTCCATTCCTTGATAATCGCTTATTAACAGTGCTTCTGCTGTTACACAGTATTGTGAGAACTGTTACTTACATCTAGTGCATTCCATTGTGTTTGTTTACTTCTTTGAAGTTTTTTATATTTTTCCTAACAACACTCACTGACTGCAAATCGACCGCTGGAATCCACAGGTTTTTGGTGATAAATTCACATAAATTTAATTCATTTATCTAGTCTGATTTTGTCTAGTGCTTTTATTGGTTGTACATTTAATATACATGTAAACAGTAATCGGAACTGACTATTTGTCATATCGTATATGTACTGTAATACAATTTATGATGCAAACTCAATTTGCCTTTACTGGCTACTGAGTGCGAACACTGAAGAATATATAACTGTGGGACTTGAAGAATCTGTTGGGAATACTTGGTGGGTCTGACCACTGCTATTATGAATTATATATATATATATATATATATATATATATATATCCATTGGTCTCAACCTCTTCCATACGATTATTCCAGATTTTGTTTCTAAAACTGACCACTTTCTCATTCTCATCCTATATGAAAAAACCGGCTATTTTGAGGTGTTCTCGGAAATATAATAAAACCTACAAAACCCTGAAGGAATACAAGAAAATAACGATTTTGAGAAGGCTGATTATCATATCTGAGTTAGCAGCTGCATCACTATTCATAGGCATTAACTTTTTGAAACATTTTAATCCATACATCAAATATTTACTCAAAATTTAGATTAAAAATCTAAGTAAAATTACCTGTGATGCATAAATAAATGTATCGAATGCAAAGCGACCTTTCAGTATCTGATAAAAATAGAGAATCAAATTTTTTATGGTGGTTAATATGTAGCCTGATTTAAGGCAAACAAACACAGACAGTGGTTTAAATACTACATTAAATGGGGATCTAGTTATTGCAGCTTGCAGTAAATAAGATCTGGATTTCACAGATGATAAATGCCTAGTGTCATACAGATTCGAAGACTTGCAGGCGAAAACCAAGAAAATGGTAGCAATGAAGACAGGACTCCACGTGAACATAGAGTGGACGGAGATAATCAAGATAACCAACCAACAACAACCATCACCAATCACTATCAATGGAAGGAATTTGAGAAGAGTTACTTCCTTCACTTATCCGGTGAGGAAGCACTGTTTCGACCACAGGCATATGGCACAGATGAACATGTCAAAGCCAGCCAGAATCGAAAGGTTATCCTGAAATCAGTTTGGAAATCTTCTGCAAATACTCAGCAAAAGCAACAAGATTCGGATTCTATTTAACACAAATGTGAAGTCAGTCGGCCAGTTCTTCTATGTGGGTCAGAAACTTGCACTGTGTGTCACGAAAAGGATTTCCAACAGACTTCTGCAGAATTTTAACAACAGCTGTCCATTTCAATGGCTATATATTGAAGATCCAGTGACTAGCCAGACAGAAAGAATTGGTGATAATAAACTCTGACAGGGAACAAACAAACCAACAGGCGACAGCCGACTGGTCAACAAATATGTAGGAGGAAATGGAGATGGGTATGGGTGACACTGAGGAGACCGTCGAATGATATCACCATTTCTGCAGTAAAATCTTAGTGGGTTGTCGTTGCGAGAGTGACCTGGAGGAGATCGTGTGACGCGGAGGAGATGAGAGATTATGAGCAGTGGTGCTCTCGGCTGAAGATGATCAGCAGAGAATCGAAGGAATTGGGGCTGTTTTGTTGCAGCCCTACATTTCACTCGGAACACTTATTAAATAAAATAAACTCAATGATATTTCCTTAAAAGAAATAATGGATGCTATAAACAAACACTAGAATTTTCATCTACCCACAGAAATATCACAATTTCACATATGTACACAGTTTTCGTTTGACATTGGCTTAATGAATTTCCTATGCATATGTTTTGCCTCTGATCTTGTTGCTGTGGTCACTGTGTTTCAGACAAAGGTGAAACAAGGTGGAACCTACCAGACAACAGTTTCTACTATATGTTTCCCTGACAAATTTTGTCATTCTTAATTATTCGTAAAGTGGTCTAGTGGATAACGCTTTGGCGTTTCAAAATATGGGTACTGGGTTCGAGCCTCGGTAGGAACATCATCACTCACTGAGAAATGCAGGTAAATCCAGGTGAAGAGTCCCAAATAGGACGAAAGGCGCATCCTGGATTCCACTGCTAGTCACCATCCACCAATTAAATTCTCTAATCTATGTTTAAATTCAGAATTTAAAATCAGCTTAGGTACAATTTTTTAGGTACACTTTAAAACAGTGCCTGAAGAAGAAAGAGATTGAAGGAAAACTCATCAATCTGCAAAAGGGTATGTACTCAACAACGGATACTCTTTAGGCGAATCTAGTAGAAGAACAAGCAAACAAATTTCCTTATACCTACAAGCCTGTATTTCCACTGCGCCGTTCTAACTCTACAGTATCTCTGTGGAAGAATAGACCGTCAAACCGCATGACGGACTAAGGACTACGTATTCAACTGGTCGAAGAAGCAGCAGAAACGGTACTCCAAGTGAACATAGACAAGACGGTGATGAAAATAACCAAACAACAACAACACAGCAGCAGCAACATCCAGCACCAACCACCATCAACGGAAGGGATTTCAAAGAGGTTACTCCATTCACTTATCTAGGAAGCATTGTCTCAACTACAGGAGGAACGGACGAGGATGTCAAATCGAGCGAGAATCGGGAAGGCGAGAAACACACACATTCATCAACCTGAAATCAATCCGGAAATCTTCGCCACTCAGCATCAACAACAAAATCCAGTCGGATTTTCAATACAAACGTCAAGTCAGTCAGCTCTTCTATACGGATCAGAAACTTGGCGGGTCACAAAGTATATTTCCAACAGCCTGTTGCAGACCTTTATTAACAACTATCTTTGCTCTATACTGTAGATCAGATGGCCGGAAAGGATCACCAACAAGGAACTATGGGCACAAACAGACAAAACATGAACAAATATGCTTAACAAATATGCAGGAGAAAGTGGAGATGGATGGGACACTCGCTGAGGAAACCGCTGGGTGACATCGCGCGCGCGTCAGACCGTTGCTCGAGTGTGACCCGAAAGGGAAGCGGTGTGTGGGCCGTCGGTGCAAGGGTGACATGGAGGAGATCGTGTGAAGAGGGGTTGAAAGATTATGGACTAACATGGATGCAGGTGAAAAGTACAGCAGAAGGAAGACAGAAGTAAGTGGAGACTTTGAGTTGAAGCCCTATGTTCCACTAGGAACTCAATGGAGCAGTAATAATATAATAATTATAATTCAACTGAAAAGCTTATTATTGAACGAAATCGAACAAATTATTGAGTCAAATTTAACAGGTTTCCTTCTTCGCTTTACATTCAGTTGTATCTACTAGATGTAAAGTATTCACAGAAGCATATATATATATCGGAAGAAGAGACAATGTAAATACCTCTTTTGGCAAACAAAATATTCTTTTACTAGTCACCATAGTGTTTTTCAATTAAAAAAACATAATCACGGAAAAAATTTGTATCACAATATTGAAATAAAATATAGTTTTGTGAAATTTTTTTTAGATTTTCATAAAATGCACAAGTTTTGTGATTACTTCTTTTGTTTATTGTTGAAAAAACGTTCTTCAGAACCTAAGATTAAATTAATGAATTGCATATTTTGTAGATATGAACTTATGAACTATGAGAATCAGGTATTTATTAGCTAATTATATTTGTATTTACAGGTAACACTAAACCTTTATTTGTAACAACTGACATATTTTTTAAAATGTACTATCATTTAAGCCAAGCACCACGTTAAATTGCACCACGTTATGCGCAAGAAAAAAATTCAGTGATAAGACAATGTGAACAGATGGTACAAGCAATTTTTGATGCAGTCATCATGGGCTTACAATCAACGGAATCATGAAATAGTACATTAAAGCTGTTGTTATACATTTGATTTCTCATAGAAAAAAAACTTTAGTTTACTTACTCGGATAACTTTTCCTGTATAGTCAACCGACAAGCTAAACATAGGTGAACGTCCAGTTGAGCTTAATATTGGTAAAATCCAATCAGTAAAATTGGAATTGTCCATGAACTGTTTGACAGTATCGTTTTCTGGTGTAGTCTGAATGAGTTCCGGCAAAAGTTCCCAACCACCAAATGTAAGTTTTATCAGTTGATGAACCTGAAGTGTTTGATTATGCTGGGGAGTGTGCTTCCTATTAACACATGACCGATAATACTTTTGAGCGTCTTCCAAATGTGGATCATTGTTAGAAAAAGATCTATCGCCTAAAAATATACATGTAGATAGTGAGTAAATTCCCATGACATGTAATTAAGAACACATAAAATAGCAAAGAAGTCTGTTTTTGTAACTTTACCTCAAAGCTTTGCAGTTATTTAGACGTTTAAACATAAAATCTTAATTGACAAAAGAGGTCAGGGTTATGGTTTACGAGCAACAGGTGAATAATATCATCATCGATGAAACAAACTGACCAAAACAAAAACCTAAAAATCTTTAACAACGCTCACCGGTCGATTGGATTTAACACTGAAGCTAAATCAGAGGGTAAATTATCCTTCCTAGATGTCCAGCTTACAAGACGACCCTAATTCATCTAATCAAAAAGGCATATCTAACCTCCTGAATCCACAAACATCTAGAAGAAAACACCAACACTACAAACCCACAAATTCTGGGTGTACTGGATGAGGACACAACTAATTGTGAATCTGAAATTCAAGAGTCATACAACTAGAGAAGTTCTCCAAAATCACCTGTCGACATCAATTGGAAGGACGTTCTCTCCTGCCTTGCTACAACACACCTTCTCCACACATGATCTCGTTCACCACAACATGAATGATACGGTCGAATTGTTGGAAACTTCAATGTGCACTCAACAATTCACTCAATCCTGTGTAGCCAATTACATCGACTATGTCAGCATGACGTTGTCGCGTATGAACACTGATGTGTGTAGTTGTGTAAAGATGGCGGTGGAACAATGTACAACTGTATATTGGAGCTTATGATTACTGTTGGTTGTGCATCGTCATCAGTGACTTGAACATCTTGTAATTATAAATTTCATTTGACTTTGAAATACATATAGGGTGATAAATATCGTAGAACCGATGCATTTAATGTAATAAGATGATACCTGAAGGTGAGATTAGTGTTCTGACTAGGGTTACAATAACGCTGATATTAGTGTAGAACTTGGACACTGAGGGAGGGCATAGTCCACCGACAGAGAAATTTTATTCGATAAAAACGTAGTGATTGAGACAGTATGATTTGTCTGGATCACAATTTACTCCTAATAATTATACAAGGTTGTTAACACAACCGTCAAACTTGATTTATATAGTTACACTACTTCTTATTGTTTGATTTTATTGCTAATGTTATTTTCCATATCTGCACTATTGGTGCCTGCGTCATTCTTATCCCATGTGTCAGGCGTAGATTTGATGAACTGAGATGCAATGAACAGCCTTCCTAACCACCTAACCATGGTACTTCAAATCATCCTTCCATGCGCTATCGTCAAAGGCATGCTTAGTTAAGTATCTAATCAACACAGTAACAATTCCAAGCAGCACATCACAGTGCCGAAATATTGAAATGAGACAGAAGACGGTGGCAATGGTGCTAAATAATTATCGCTTAAAATTCTCTGGAAAACTCAAGAAAATTCACTTGAACTGAAGAAATGGTGGTGAAAATATTGACATTGCATAAATGCGACAAAATTTAAGGCAGTGTTGCCATATAAGAAAGAGAGAAGTTGACTACCAAATCCTAGATGATCGAATTTACACCTGAGACATGCAGTAGGAATGAGGCCACACAAACACCGTAGATATGGAAAATATTATTACTTATAAATTCAAATAATAACATACACTTGAGCAATATAAAGAAAGTAACTTAGCGGATGTTTACCAACAGTGGAAACCAGGACGAGTATTTCGTTCTGTTTGGGACTCGTCACTGAATGTACCTGAATTCTGCCCTCAGTGAGGGGTAGCGTTACCACTGGGGCTGAGAACAAATATCCATAGTTTCATACGTCAAGGGGTTATCCATTGGACTAAATGGGCCAGGAAAACCACCTCTTTATTTCTCATTCAGTTTTAATTTTCCTGTTGATTGATTGCACTCAGATGTTCGACCTCGGAGAATGCAGGTACATGCAGATACCGAGTTCCAAATGGAAGGAAATGTGTACCCTGGATTCCACTGCTAGTTAATATCCATCAAATTATTTGGAGTTAATCCTCAGACGCCATCGAAGCATCCGCACAAGGAGCCACATTGTCGGCAACAGAGACTGAACACTTCGGTTCAGTTAGTTAACGAGAAAATCAAGATTGAATTAAAAATAAGTAGTATAAAGCAATTCTGAAAGTTGTGTTAGCATACTGGTATAGTTATTGGGCATAAATTGTACTGGAAACATCATCAGGAAAATGAATAATATGGTAGCACTGTAATGTCTCATCCAATGAAACTATTCTAATTAGGTGTTTAAATCAGTATCTTTGCGTTTAAACAAAATTGTAGAATCCTGATTATTAATTTTTAAAGCATCGATTATAAAATGCCATTGAACTAGTGTAGGCAAAGTTTCATTTTTAATAGAAGCAGGAAAAACCTTTTGAGTCAACAAAGTGGGCAATAACTTTTATCAAAAATCGTACTGATAATTAAAGTTTCTCTACCAAATTTCTTTCTTTCCTGTCCTGATAAAATTTCTGCAAATCTCATAATGCAATTTATCACAAAACTTTCAGTTGAATAATTTCAAGTGTGATCACAAATTGATATTAGCTAGAAAACCATTTAACACCAGGGAATACTAGACAGGTGTTTTATCCTAGTTTGAGAGTCTTCAGTGGGTCACGAATCGCGCTCCTTGATCATGCAGCTACTACGACGGAATCTGAAATTTAAACAAAAATCAAATCCCTACAGACTCACACATGAAAATTAATCTGGTGTTCACCAATCGCTGGCTACAGAACAAAGTTGGCTGAAGTTCTGTTAAGTAGTCGTGATCATCGGGGCCCACCAAGTCAGAAGAAAGGACAAATACTTGTGAATGATAATGACTGGAATTAGCACTAAAAATTACCAATCGGCATGGTTCAGTACAGACACGCCATCAAATTCCGTCTCCGGAGGAAGCATACTATGAAGAGTCCCAAACTAGGATGGAACAGCCATCCAACACTCTCTGGCTTTCAAGTACTGGTTTGTAGGGATTTGGTTGATTGGTTACAGGATTTCATTATGAGTTGACATCGGTTAGAGAACCATTGGAAAACCTGGGACTACTGGACAACTGTTTCGTCCTAGTTTGGGACTCTTCACAGTACGCACCCACCCCCTGCTGAAGAGTCCAAACTAGTCTGACGAAACAGTTTTCCAGTAGTCCTAGGTTTTCCAATGGTTCTCTAACCAATGTCAACTCATGATAAAATCCTGTAACCACTCTCTGGTTTTGATGGTACTATAACTCATATCAATCCGTGACCAAGCTTGAAAACAATCAAATCTGTACAAGCCAACACCTGAATAACTGATTATTAGTGAATGAAGAATAGAATCGATAAGTGGATTAAGAATAAAATAGAAATATATCCTGGTCCTGATTCATATACTAATTGAATTAATTTTTGTTCAAATTTTTGTTTTATTAAACTAATGCTTATACAAAGTAAAAACTGCAGTTTAATTTTCAACAACCAGCTAAGCTATGAATTGGATACACCCTATGAAGTGTTTTTCTTTTTTAAGCTATGCAAAAAAATTAATCGGCTTACACTGACATATTTTTACTGAAAGTTTACGGATACTTACTCATTAATTTCCAGAAATACTGGTTTATTTCCATATAAGCCTTTGTAAATGTATTTATCGCAAATGAGTCTTCTGGAATGTTATTATTTTTCTCCCATTCAGCACAGGCATACTGATAAAAATCGTCACAAGGACTGTAAGCAGATGTGTTGTTCGTCTTATGTTGATCTAAAATTTTTGGAAAATAACAGAAGTTAAGCTGGGAAACATTCTAGAAGAATTATAGCAATTATAAAAATAGAAGAATTATGTGTAAATATTACTGACAAGTGATATTACTTAAAAAAAACTGAAAATATAATGGTAAAAGTTTTATATAGTTTATATTACTTTTATTAGTTAATATAAATGATCACATGATGGACTGTAAACTTGCAGACCAGATTTTAAATGAAAAGATCTTGTCTTTATTTAAAACGAAAGCGTCGGTGGCACAGCGGTAGAATGTTCACCAACCACTCAGGTGGTTCGGGGTTCGATTTTCGGACACAGGTGCACTCCTTTGCCTCGCTAATCCAGTAATAAGACTGGTAAAGAGGGAAGGTTGGGCATGAGGCTAGCAACTCCAACCCGTAAAAATAAATAACACTGCTACCGAAACTTCGAAGCTTTGACCTGAAGCCTATGTTCCACTAGGAACGTGAAGGAAAACAAACAACAGAAAAACGGAGCAGTGTTTAATATAATACCTCCACAGGGATCAATGGTTTTGAGAGAATTAATATTTTATTACTAACGAAAGAGAATCAGAAAAATACAGAAAAACTATAATAAGGCAACTGAAAACTCAACTGACAGATTTGAATAATAAAAAGAAGCTACCTAGGTCAATTAATGAAGTCTGCAGATGTTGTCTAGAAAGGTAATGAAAGCTTTGCAGAGAAACCACCTAACCCAGAGGACATAACTACTCTAATATAATTATAATAATAAGATTTCGTGTCAATGACAGTTTCAGGGATAAATGTTATTGTCCAGTGAGTAGGTTGCATTTAATTGTTAATCATCGTGCAGTAACACTGTTTCTGTCTGTATAATGAAATTTTCGGCTAACCAATGATAGAAGAATAACCGTTAAATCAGTTAGCATGTCTCATGGATTTTGTAAGTAGTGTGTCAGATATCATCGTGGTGGCGTTCGTGAAAGAATGCTGATTAAATAAATGTTTCTATCAGTTCCCTTGTAATAATTATAATTGTCTATCGAAATAATACATCCTTTAGATGATTGACAAGAAGAAGAAAGAGAAAATAGATGAAGTTAAACTTGACACACTGAAAAGGCACGAATGCACCGAAGACCTTAGAACTCGCAGTTATTAAGTTAGTGAACCATGTAAATAACACTGTATTCATAAAAAATATGCTTTGATGAGGTGTTATGATATTAAAACAGGCATCTGGTAAGTTTTAGGCCAAGTTTTGAAAAGACTGAGGTGAGGTTAGGATAAATTAGGATTAAGATTAGAGGAACAAATCTATCTTTAAGCCCTTTGACCCTTTCTAAGATCATTAATGACTTCACACCACTTCGGTGCCTAAAGTTTGACTTCTCCAAAAAGCAACTCAATGAACTGAAATCAAATGGAAATCTGATAATTACTCAACGAGAATTGTTCTGCTCAACAAGTCAGACTATGTGAAGAAACTCTCACTAATTCTATTTGATGACAACAAATTTCAAAACAGACCATCTTAAAAGATCTAACTGAACAGATGGAGCTTCAGCTAACCAAATTATTGAAAAAAAATAAAACATGAATCAATTATTGATACAGAACTAAATGGTTCTACATCGCCACGAATGTACGCACTACTCAAAGTTCTCGAAAAAAGGACAGTAAGGAAGAAGTGAGTAGCAGAAAGGAAATTTTTTTATTTTTAACAAACATCCTTATAGGATTAGACAAAGTGATGGGTATCGGATTTCATTTAACTTGAAAGGCAGTCCCAACTAATTACCAAGATTTAATTTAGAAATAAAAAATCGCCATGATAACAGTAAATAATAATAATAACGACATTAGCTATTAATGTGATAAAAATAGGCCTCATAGCGTTGTCAACGGTCAACACACCATGATACAAAAGGCATTTCTTCAGAGTAATTCTTGAACTTGCATTTCCAATGTCTGCTGAGTATTGCAGGTAATTCTCACTAGTTCGTGGTTATTAATATCATCTGCAGAGTTTATCTTTGGAATAATTTCACAGTTTCTTTCATCTTAAATATATTTTTCACATATTTTTATGCTGGAGAACACAAGTTAGATTTAGACCACCTCCTGACTATCAACACTGTAAGTAAATTCTTGATAATAAATGACAGGATCTTTGGTATAAGTGTGACGAATTTTTATTATGCATTCACCGAGATCACCATTCAATGGAACTCAGTATATTCTATTTAAAGCTTGACACCAAAATCTTTCAACGCTTGAAATTCACCAATGGGATGACGCTTGCAAACTGTCGTATGATTATCATTATTAATTCGTCTAAGACCACATTACGTTAATTATTATATCCCTTTGTCCTTATTCTCATTACTTTAATTAAACCGTGTTTATTTAGGGATCTTTTTTGATTAACATAGTAGAATGTTTAAACTTTTATCATACCGTAAAAAGAAACAGAAAAGAATTATCTTACCTAAAGACAATTTGAGCATAAAATATATCGCTGCGACTGTTGCTGTTGTAAGTACGAGTGTCGCAGTTAGTAATTTGCAGCAGCCTATCTTCATTTCAAGCGTCTTCTTAATTCAATGTTACTTCTTTGTAGAATAATTTCACGTATTCTTTGTACTCTTTATATACTTGAGCTTGTTTTGAATCACTCTGTTGTGTGTGTTCCCGTGAATACAACTATCAGTATTACCTTTATAATGAAGTAATTTTTGTGTGTAATTTCAGTCTGTTCTTCTACTGCCTGTGTATTTTCACTTTTAATTTTCTTTGTAATTTTAATTTATTTCTGTCACTGTCATCTGTTAGTTATATTTAGTAATAGCAAATAGTTGTTTACTTTTATTTTTTCAGAAAACTTTTTGCCGCATTATTTAAAGTTTGTTTTGTTTTATTTTTCCTTCTGAAGATTATTTCTCACCTCAGGGTCACCGTAGAACAATTTTTTACGTACATAATTTAAATTCTTTTGGTAATCTTGCAAAATATAGTGTTGTACTCAGCATTTAATTGAATAAGACTAATTAATTATGCTGTTACTTAGGATTTCTAACTCAGGGTTTATTTGGTTAAATATGTTCTCTGTTATTCTATGGTAGTTTTTTTTATATTTTTGATTTCATCTAAGTTAAATACTCAGTATTATTTGTGGAGGTGACATTTATAGTTAACAGTTACGTCGATGAAATGTATCCTGATGTAATCGATACTTCTGATTATCTTTCTTTGAATATTATTTGATCTGTGCTTTACAAGTTGAATGTTCGATGATGACAAGCAAATGATCTTGTGAGGATTGAATGAATGCTTGAGGGCAGTCGTAGAACCAAGTGAAAGCGATAGCAAGGAATCAAGAGTAATGGAGATTTGCTGACAAAACTGTTAGTGTGTCTGTGTTCCGCTAGAAACATGAGGAACGAATAATAATAAGAATATCACTACTATTAATTCTGAGCTGTAAGCTGAATGAAATCTTATTGGTTATGAACAAATTGAACTGAACCTCTTCTCTAATTATCAAGAGTTGATTTGCATAGATTTAATTGTTTGCAGATTTGACAGAGAGTTGACATCAGTTAAAGAACTATTGTAAAACCGGGAAGTACTGAACAGCTATTTTGTCCTAGTCTAGGACTTCTCACCAGTATGCACCACCCTCCCGTATTCGAATGCAGGAACTTCTAAAAACTAGGAGAGTTAGTAGACCATTCAGTGGCCCGTGAATTTCAATTTCTTTGCGATATATATAGCCTAGCCACTAGCCGATGTAGTAGGCTTGTAAGTGTTCTCTTGTCTGACTTGGTGGGACCTACTGGTTACGATGTCTCACTAGAACTTCAAGTAACTATCTGTATAGAGCCAGTCGTCAGTGAGCATCAGATTAGTTGCTCATTACCTACCTGAATACTACAAATTCAGAGAAATTCTTCTATTTAAATTCAGATATCAGTAATATAGAAGGAGATGCTGTTTCATACATACACTGACCTATAGTGAAACTGGTTTGGTTGTTGAAATAATAATTTTGTGTCCAGCATCTTTGTATTGTCTTTCCAACTTGACTACTGGACAGATTAATTTTCTATTTCCTCAAAAACACATGGTGTAGTTCTTTCTTTTGGTCTACACATATCTTTATAAATACCATGTGATATCTGTTTTCACTGAGACAGTATTCTACAGTACTCAGTTCTCTTCCTAACTTGTTCATGTTTGCCGACAAAAGAGGGAGAATTTCTTATCCGTCAGGATATTATCCATCCATATGTTTTTTCCTGTGAGTAATCTTCTGTATCATCTCATCATTTCCACTTCTTTCATTGAGATCCAAAATACTAAACTAATCATACCCTCATTTAATTATAAATGTATTGGTGTTCTGTGTTACTGAATGCCCAGAAAATTCTGAGTTCTTTTGTTAGTTTTACTAAAGAGAATAAACTTGCCGTTCTTATTACTGAAGTAATCTATCCCTCTCTTTTCCTCTGAGAGAGTTGTATAGCCAATCTGACGTATATCGCATCAAAAACAGTCGGCACGGTTGTATGCCAAATTAAAACTGCACAGCATGAAGATTAATTTTGTCTAGTTTTATTGAGCAGGGTCACCAACTGGAAAGGTAAAACACTTTCAGCCTTATTTATTGTATTCCATCAAACCTTTTGGACGGTATGCGAGTTTTTTATTTGTACATAACTAAAACAATAAGGATTCCAGAGAGTAATTCGTGTCTGCTTATTCAAAAGAAGTCTGATATTAACCTTGTTTCTCTGTTATCATTACATACTTTTTATTGTCCGTTCATTTCACCGTCTGTTATTTTTAATCTAAACTTTAATCACCCATTTGCTTCACCTTTGTATTATGATTATGACTCAGTTTGATTGTAGCAATTCTTCGCATCACGTTACCATTTCCACTACTATAATGTCTGGTTTCCTTAGGTATTTACACTTTTGTTATTGCTGAAAATATTGATAAATATTTTTTAAATGCATAGTTCATTATGTCTCCAGGGTATTGTTATGGTTTCTGCAGTTAGGAAGGTTCCTTGTCTAGTACCTTCTGACGCATAATAAACTACATGGTGTACACCGTTAGATAACTGGTCAGTACTCGCTGTAGTCACGTTGAACCACGTTTTCCAATACCATACTATTATTGCTACAGTTCCTATGTAAGAAAACCTAATCAGTGGCTGACTTAACAAGTTCGATAGTAGCAGGTGAAATGAAAATCATAGAAAAAGGTAGCTAGACCGGTTGCTTCATTTTTCATGAGCTTTATTACAAATGGGAGTGAGTTATGATTTTTCCGGTTGAGCTGTTTTAATGCTCGCCAACCATGCATGTAGTCCGGGGTCCGATCCCCGGCCCACAGACGCACTAAGCCAGTAATTAGCAATAATAGTAGTACTAATAGTTTAGCTTCTCACACTTACCAGTGTAGCACAGAAAAACCTATCACTGAGTATCACAACGTTTCTACTTCATTCATAGCTATTCTAACAAAATACCATAAAAGTCTCTTTGGAAGACAGTGAATCAGTATAATAAGAATTAACCAAAAGAATTACAGTAAATTCTCGGACTCTATAACAATTCGTTAAGCAATGATATACATCTTCATCTGTGTATGTACAGTTCAACATCTACGTTTTAAGTAATATACGTGTAAACGAATCGCAAAAATAGGAATATTCAAACCTCTTATTAAACGTGGCATGTATGTACAAGTCTTAGTCACGTTTGTATGAGAGATCGTCTTCTGATTTTGATATTGATATGTACCCATATAATATGTGTGTTTGTTTGACAGTCTGTTCTTGGTGATATGTACCCATATAATATGTGTGTTTGTTTGACAGTTTGATATATTTTGCTATGTATATATGGATCGATATTCCATTATAATTAGCCAATCATGTTAAGATTGTCTATTGATTTGTTCATTTTGAATATTCGCTCTCACACTTGTGTACACACACTTGTTCGGACATTCATATATTTTTGCTCTCACACTCTTGTGTGACACATTGATTCTCCTTGTGTTTGGAAAATAGAAGTATCATCGCAAACCTAGTGGTCTTCTGATTTCCGTTTTTCTTGCGTCAGGACTATTAATTTCTCGACCAGTACATAACAGATATAGAAGAAAAGCTTTAGGCTAAAAGAAGGTAGCTTACATTTGATTAAATTACTTGGTATTTTTCAATGATTGCCTTGTACTGGATCGAAATGCTCGATGTCTGTTGAATAGTCGGCCCCGATTATAGACAGTTTGACGATGTCCGAAGACTAACATGATGTTATCTGGTTGATGATGACTAGTTGTGGAAGTCAGGATGAATATTTTATGCTATTTAAGACTTTATAGTTAGATGTACCGGTATTTCCAATGAGTCGTGGTATTCTCAACATTCAGTGAACAATTCTTATATCCAATTAAATGCGCATCCTGAATTTAACTTCTAACCGCCACCAACAAAAAAGGTAGCTTACAAGTACAATGTGTAAATATCGCATTCTATGTATAGACTAGCCTAAGCAGTCTTCTTTTGAAACTGTAACAATTTTGCTAATTTTGGTTATTCTCTTGGAATACAAGTAGAGCATTGGGATTCGACAGCACATCTCCATTTCATACTGTTCTCTGCAGCCCTCTTCAACTGGCCTCAAGATTTCCCGTAAGCTCTCATATCTTCCTCACACAATCAGCTCAGACTTGCGCTCAGCTCGACGTTTCCCAACGGGGTTGCAATAATGCGATAGTTCAGAGCATAATGTCTCTCAACGGTCTCCTTAGCATGTGTCCGGCACACCTCTATTTCCTTCTGCTTGTGCTGGACAGCAGGATCTTGGTCGGTTCGCTTCCTACCAGATAAACATTTTTCTGTGATTTATGACTGGCAATATGATCTTTAGTACTGGGATAAAGAAGGCATTTGCTGGTGAAAGTCTACAGACTACTTGAAATACTTTGCGTGATGGGTGCACCAAGTCTCTTGGGTATATGGATGCACTAACTTGACATTAGTGTTGAAAATCCGGATCTTCTTCCTCATATCGAGCGCAATGGATTCCCACTTTGATTTCAGATTATTGAACGCCTATCTCTCCTTTCTGATCATGCATTTGACGGCCTCATCTGTGCTGCCTGTATTTGAAAAGACGGTACATAGATAAGTAAAAGAAGTGAACCCCTTCAAATTTCTCCTATTGTTGGTGATTAGTGCTTGTTATTGTTGGTCAGTGGGCATCTTCATCACCTCTGTCTTCTCTGCGCTCACTTGAATTCTTATCTTTGCTGATTCCTCTGCCAACTCGTCGGTTTTCACTTGTAGATCTTTTACCTTTTGTAACACTAGATGCAAGTCATCCGCAAAGTGCAAACCTTCTATTCTTTCTGTTGTTTCGTGAAAATCCCATCTTCTCGGTTTCCACAGTCTCCTGTATGATCCAATCCACCACAATTACTAATGTCATCGGTGATGGCAAGCAGCTGTTTCCTACTCCTGTCTTCACCTCAAACACCTCAGCGAGCTTCTGCTGCTCAAAACAGGAGTCTTTAATAATCTTTGAGAATTATATGTTAATTGAT